GATGCCCCCTTGTCAAATCATATCAACTCCTCATGTTTGATGGATTTTGTGGTCACATTCCTTCGGATCAACCCACACATTCCTGCAGATATCTTCACATGTTCACCAGAAGCCAAGCTCAGTTACAAGGTGAGGGTTTATGTTCAATAGCTCAGTTGACGTACATCACTTGCTGTTGGGTTGATTTGGAGGATATACCATGATGTAACTATGTAACTATAGTCTAGTAGTATTCAGTCTAGTAGTATTCATGGCCAAAAAAAACTTATAAACCAACGTTCACATCACCGGAGGGCCTCACCTTATACAGTGCCCGGAATCCATCACTTGAGGTGGCCCATGCAGTGGACCCACAGCAAGCTGAACGCTTAAAGTTGGCAGGCCACCGGTGCCCGGTTCGGGCCGGTTCATGGGAACACGCTGATGGCATGGGATGGCTTAAAACATGGTAAAACCTATGAATTATACCATGGATTTTTAGATGAAGATTACCATTTTGATATTCACCAGAGGTACAAGGTTTTGACCCATCACCATATATATATATATACATATACACATAATATTTATGTGTATATATATATGTATATAGGACTCAGCAAGTTTTCAGATAGAAAATTGTAAATCCCACAAATACATCGTGATACAAAAAAAACTGTTCTATCTTGGGGCTGATTTTCATCAACCCTGTTGGATGATCCCAATTGACTGACTCTGATCTTTGCTGGGAAGCAAATATATATATATATATATATATGTGCGCTGTAAATAATTGTGCACATATGCAAATATAACATATTATAATATATATATACATAGACATTATATATACATAATGTATTACATTCGCATTTTGTTTACAGATGTATTTGGGTGAACCAATGGATAGGCATAGACTTTTCCCAAAGTGAAGAGACCACTAATGCTCCACTTGTCAGGTGAGCTCACTTTATTTTAACGCACCCCAAGATATCGAATAGTAACAAGGTGTCATAAACTATAAGAGTCTATATGATATTAATATGATTACCCATTTTTTTTGATATGTAGGTATATATATATATATATAGTAATCATCACAATTAATGATACTATATGATTACTCAGTAGAATTATATCCCATAGGATCCATGGTGCTGGTATATATGCTAACATAAAGGGGGTATATTGATGGGATCCATGTTACCATATATACCATACATGGATCCTATGGGTATAAGACTATAAGATATTAGAAGTATACGCCCCATTTCGGGACTTCTGGGGCGGGCCCGCCTTAAAAAGCGCCAGGAGCTCGCCCTGTTTGACGAGGAGAACATCCGGTTTTTCTGCTTCGACTGGCCCAGTTGTAGCAGAGAATATATATATATCGTTTGGATATGTTTGAACATGTGTTTGAGCATGTGTTTGAGCATGTGTTTGAAGATGTGGTTTGTGTGATACACTTCTACAGTAACTCTGTATTATAGTCATCCTGGAGTAGATAGAATGTGGAAAGTACAAACATGGGCATATCTTTGAACAAATCCATATTATATCTACTTCAGATTGACTATATGATGACAATTGGCAATGCTAATACATGATAATACCAAAAATGAAAAATGATAATGATGATTATGATGATTATGCTTATAATTATTCCTGTTGTTGTTATTCTGTTACTATTGTAATTCATCCCTATGTAGATGCTTCGCCAGGACTGAGCAGATCCTCTTCCGTCGCACGTCCGTCGCAAAGCCGGCGGTGGATCTGAAATATATCAGGGGAAAGCAAGCAGTTGAGGATTGAGAATCGTTTTCTTTGTCAAAAGTTGGTGATTTTTGGAGAGGTACCCCATTTTCAGAGTTTCAGACAAGGAAAATTCCCGTTTGTAATTCTATTTCCATAACCTTGGAACCAAAGCCATCAAATATCTGTCATCCTATTTCCATGTGCTAGATCCCAACTGGTTGGTGGTTTCAAACATGAGTTTTGTTTTCCATTTCATATATGGGATGTCACCCTTCCCAACTGACGAACTCATATTTTTCAGAGGGGTTCAAACCACCAACCATAGAATTGGATGGGAAAATTTACAGGAAAGCCCTATATTTGATGGTAAAAACCATGGTTTCCTGTAGATTTTCCCTTAAACCAACCCAATGAACCAACCAGCCAATACATTCCCCTGGTTTTTGTTGGAACTTCTTGGAATCTCTTCATGTTCGGGGCCAGAGAAGGCGTGGCTGGCGTGGCCCGTTGAATCGAACGGTGCCGAAACATTGATGGCTCAGACCAGCCAGGTGAGGATCGTGATTTTTTTTTCCAGCATCAATGTATCATCAGTCATTCACATATATGTAGGTATATATGTAGGTATATTATATATATAGTAATCATCATAATTAATGATACTATATGATTACTCAGTAGAATTATATCCCATAGGATCCATGGTGCTGGTATATATGCTAACATAAAGGGGGTATATTGATGGGATCCATGTTACCATATACAGTATACCATACATGGATCCTATGGGATATGATATGGACAATAATATATGTATACATCATATCATATAAATCACATATAATTACGTGTGAGTATATATATATATATATACATACGCCATATTGACGGTTCGCATGATACATCATCAAATTTAGCATTCTATCAGACCATGGAGCTTATGACTGCTCTACATTGTTCAATTGCATTTATATACTAATTCTGTGTTCAAAATCTATACGACGACGATCGGCGATGGGTCGAAAATCACCAGCTACTTTACGGTGAACCATGGATGGTCTGGGATAATTTGAGACGCTCGAAACCCTGGGTCTCCACCCTGAAATTCGTCAGAATTTGACGCCAAAGTTAGTTAGTTTTGTACTTCCATGGTGTCTTACCCTCTGGTAAACATACAAAAAACTATGGAACATATTGGAACATCACCATTTTTAATGGGAAAATCCACTACAAATGGCCATTTTCAATAGCAAACTGTTAAATTACCAGAGGGTATCATGTCTTATCTCTATACCCTTCGGTACCCTTCGGTATTCAAACACGGCTGGGAAGTCTGAGAACACGACGAAGTCGAAAATGCGGGAATTCCCAATGGCAATGAAAATGATTACAGGAGGGTATCATTACCCTCTGGTAATGACTAACGTAGCTAGTGAAAATGGCCCATTGAAATAGTGGATTTTCCCATTAATAAAATGGTGGATCTTTCAATAGCTACGTTAAATTACCAGAGGGTACTTGTTCTTGTCTCACAGCTAGAAATCAATGACCAAGGATTCACAACATTAAAGTGGATCATGCTCGATGAAATCGATGGCGCTTGTTGAAAAACGTCGTCCGTTGGTTGTCACGTCGGACCCGATGTCAGAACAATACATGACAGCCATTGGTTTGATCATCATAAAGATATGGCTATGGATCAATACCTATGAAAATACCATTTTTAGGGGGATGAACATCCATTTTAACCCAGCTATTTTGATGTGAACAAAAGGGGTACAAGGTTTTGACACACTGCCATATGGGGGTTTCCATAAATGGAGGATCTCCAATGTGGTTGGTGAAAAAAGTGGAAAATACTATGAGAATGAATGGGTAATGAACAGACAACAAGTAATCAGTTACTATTGATTATTAGGATTGACCAAGAACCAACTGTTTGATCTGTTTGGTGGTTTCATGTTTTTGGTTCATTTTTCCAATATATCAAAGTCCGGAGGATATAGCAGGAGAAAAGTCCGTAGTCAGCCCGTATCGTTCCCAAAAATAGACATCATTTTTGTTTAGCAGTATCTGCTTCCCAAACTAACATGACATGAAAACATGATATCTGAGTTTAAAAGATAGTGGTAACTTACTTTTACTTACTTTTACGTATTTATTTATCTTTTTGGAAGTTACTAGAACTTGAAAGCACTCCAGTTCTGGTTGAGGAGCTCGCCGGTGCCATCCAAAGTACTGAATAGTTACCCTCTGGTTATCTAACATAGCTATTGAACATGACCATTTATAGTGGATCTTCCCATTGAAAATGGTGATTTTCCATGGCTATGTTAAATAACCAGATGGTTTTTTTCGCCATGTGAGTTTGGCAGTCATAGTTGGCATCCATGGGGGTTCCCATACTCTTGACTCTCCCGATGGAGGTAGACAGGAATCCAGCCATCGAATTATGGTTTTCTTTATCTGTCCAGCGCAACCAATGATTGCCAGCCAATAAGTGTTTTATCACGTTTTTGGTATCTTGTTGGAGAGTTTGTTCATAGCATTGTTTTCCAGTTCATCATGTTTTTTTTGTTCCAGTTAGCATATTACTTACACTCTGGTAATTTGTTACAGTTTGCTATTGAAAATGGCCCATAGAAATAGTGGATTTACCCATTGAAAATGGTGAGTTTTCATAGTTTTTCGCATGTTTACCAGGCCGGGTAGCATTGGATTTTACCACTTGATCATCAACCAATGGGATTCTGAGTCAGATTTACCAGGCCACTAATGGATCAACTAATGGATTTGAGAGATATTACATGATGGTTTACCCGGCCTGGTAAACTAACACAAACTATGGAAAGATCCACCATGCTATTAATGGGAAAATCAACTATTTCGACTGGGCCAGTTTCAATAGCAAGCTGTTAGTTTACCAGAGGGTTTACCCATTATACCACTATTTTTGATGGTTCAAGCCTCATTTTGGGTGGTTCATCCCCATTCAATCACCATGGTTCATCCCGATTCAATCACCACCAAGACCCCTGAACAATTCCATGAAAAATGACCTAAAACCTCATTAACCCCCATTAAACCCCATTAAACCTCTATTAAATCACCATTAAACCTCTATTAAATCACCATTAAGCCTCTATTAAATCACCATTAAGCCTCTATTAAATCACCATTAAACCTCTATTAAATCCCCATTAAATCACCATGAAATCACCATGAAATCACCGCTTCCCTGGTCTCATCTCCCTTCCTTGCGTCAGCACTGCCATCACGCCGCCTTGGCCTACGACGTGGGCGTCTACTTTGAGGCGAGGCGAGTCAGCGAGTCGAGTCAGCGATGGAGGCATCACGAAGAATGGAGAAAAGATGGTTAAATGGTTATTGATGGTTATTAATGATGTTATTTATGAAATTATTCTTATATGGCTATGGATCAATACCTATGAAAATACCATTTTTAGGGAGATGAACATCCATAAATCCCAGCTATTTTGATGTGAACTACAGGGGTACAAGGTTTTGACACACTGCCATATATATATATTACTATGGAGAAATGAAGATGATTAATAGTTCTTAATGGTTATTGATGGTTAATATTGATGTTATTGATGGACCATTTAATGGTTATTACACCATGATTATGGTTATTATTAATATATCAAAGCAGTTATATGGATATGACTATCATTAATGTTAATTAACATCTTCCCATACAGCTTGGGGCCCCATAGTTAGTTAAGCTGGTGCAAATAACTATAAATAATACTTATAATTTTCAATGTTGGTATTTATTTAGAGTAAGTTATATGTAAGATAATGAGGAATATATGGAGGTTTCCCAAGTCATAGGGCTACTGTACCCCAAATCATCTATTTTAAGAGGATGTTCCATTCTAAACCATCCATAAATAGGGGTACCCCGTACTTAGGAAACCTCAAAATGTGGAGTATTCACCATTCTATGAATGCGGAATCGCATTGGTTTATCATGGTTTATCATTTTCTTTGCCTGTAGACAGTTCAAAGTTTGAACATGTTGGGGGTATCATCATTTTGGATATGTTTGCTGGGTGAACCAACTGGAAGGACACTTTAATGCAACATAATATTGTGCCATAGTGGCATATTTAGGAAGCAGCTGAAAACATATATTGCAGGTGATCCATCATTTGGCGTGGGGTATAACCCAGAATTGGCTATGGATTTGCTATGTTAAATGGAGGTACCCCCAAATCATCCATTTTAATGGGATGAGTTTCCAGTATAAACTATCCATTTTGGGGTACCCACATTTTAGGAAACTCCCATATGCAAAACAATGGGGACACATATGTCATATGTCTTACCATGGGAAGGAGACCCACTGCCCCCATGTGTTGCGGATGAAAACCCAATAACTCCCATGACAATCCATGAACTCCCCATTAAAGCCCCTATGAAAACCCAATAGATATCCAGAAATCCCATTAAACACACTTAAATCTCCATAAAGTGACCATTAAATCATATTAAATCCCATCAATTCCCCTTAAAGCCCCCAGAAAAATTGAGGCCAATGGGCACGGCACCCTTCTCTTCAGCCAAAAGTTCGTGGACCGAATGCAGCCAGCGGCTCCCAGCGGGGCGCTCCGAAATTGCGGTGACCAGGTGGCGGGAAAAAGAAGACCTGTCTTATCTTTAGTAACCCCAATGTCTATGTTTACTTGGTGGCTCATCCCACTTAGTAAGTGGGTTATAACCCCAGTTATACGTGGATTAACCCTACTTATCCCATTTATAACTGGGGTTATAACCCACTTACTACTCTGAGTTGTTAAAGTTGAACGATTTCAATGAAATGAGCGTCCCAGCTGCGCGCACGCAACTTCTAAAGTTGACCAATGTTGCGTCCAGCTTGTGTCTAGCAAGTTAGTTTTTTTCAGTTTTTGACTTTTTCGTGGGTTTTGCATTGCCAGCGACTTTGTGTGACTTCGTATTTAGGTTGTGTCTATACCATGTGTTCATGATCGCATGAAAGGACAATGAAAGGAGAATGAAAGGAACATGAAAGCAAATGAATCCAAAGGTTTGGGTTTTGATACCCTTTGACGTCGTTCGATACGTCGTTCGGACGTCGTTCGGACGTCGTTCGAAACAGCTACCCTCTGGTAAACTAACATAGCTATTGAAAATGGCCATTTATAGTGGATTTACCCATTAAAAATGGTGATTTTCCATAGTTACGTTAGTTTACCAGAGGGTAACCGTGTCCCTACAGAATCCAACAGCTAAAAGCAGCTTTTCTTGTGATCACTTGCAATCTACATGTGGTGAATCACTGGCGTCCCAATATGACATTAGTGTTTTTTGTTGTATTTAATACCACTTTGAAGATGTTTTGGGAGTTGCGTCCACAAGGTGTTTCCTCATCTTTCACACAGCAAAACTTGCCAAAACAGAGTTTGTCGTACATCGGCGTCCCATTGGGGTTGACCTTGCTTTTGGTCAACTTATTTGACTTCCTGATCCAACGGCGTCCCAATGAGATTTGACACAATTCTGTTAAATTGGTCGACTTTAACGGTTCGGAGTAAGTGGAATGAGCCACCAAGTAGTAGCTTTAGTAATATAGTATGGAAATATTGGAATGTCTATCTTGTGTTTAACTTTTGTATGATTCATCCAATGAGTTGGGTCGATCATTTTAGTAATGTATTAACCATCCAATGATTATTGTAATGAGTAGGCTACCCAATTTTTGCCCATATTAAAGTTCACAGATTTGTCCGAACCCAAGACTGGTGGTTTCAAATATTTCTTCGTGTTCAACCATACGAAAGGGATGATTGGTTGACATGGCTCATATTTTTGGGATGGGTTAAAACAGGTTAAAACCACCCAAAAGTTGAGCGTCAAAACTAAAAGATGATCTATCCGCAGATCATGTTGATAATCCCATGGAGTGTCATCCCCATGTCCCCATGAAAAACGTTCCGTTCTCTATTTTTGCACGCATCCATCTCCATGGTTAGAAGCCGTACGGTGACCAACACTAGCATCACTAGCATCACTAGCATCAGTGCCATCCCTCTGCAACCAGCGGGATTTGCCGAGATCCCTGGCCACCAGCAGTCGGAAGCTCGGTTTTGGTGAAGAACTTGGCTCTTGGATGGAAGTGCTTGGACGAGTTTCTGACACAAAAAATGGCATGACATGGGGGTGGGTCAAAACCTATTATTATCAATTCTAATGGGATGAACATCCATTTACCAGCTATTTTGGGGTTCACTAGGTGCCAGGGTTTTGACCGATAGCCATATGACATGGTCAGTTGTATCAAAGGCGATCTGACTTAGCGATTTTGGTTCAACTCGAAGCGCCTGCCTGAGTTTGTGTCGTTCGGATGATCCAATGGTCAAGTCATCTCTAGTCCCCAGGGAGGCCCCAGGTGCCTTAAATGTGGAGCTAAGTGTTGTGCGTCAACTTGGCGTGGGGGGGTGCCTTACCTTGTATAATTAGGGTCTATTTTCTCAAGACCCACCAAGTTGTTCTTTGTTGTTTTGTAAAGTGCGGTTTTGGTTTGTGCAAAGTCTGTCTTGAACAACCAAGTAAGACTGTTTCAATCACTTGAAGTTTCTGCATTGCCTTGTCTCTCAAGCCTGTGAAATGTAGACTCACATTGCTTGAGCATTTTGGAGTGTTTGGAAGTCATGCAAAATTCTTTAATTATCTATCGTTGATTTTCCCAGTAAAACATCCATTTACTTCGGGCATTTCAATCCCAGCGCCATATTTTGTCAGTCTCTTTCTGCGGTGCAGATCGCGCCATCCCAGCAATCCCCACATCCTGCAAGATTTGGAGCTACAGAATTAGTCTCGGTCCAGATTTGGCTACCAATGGACCATGAATTTCGCCAAAGCAGTGGTTTCAATGTGGGTGTGAGTCAAAATTTTTCAGACCCAGGAGACCACAGTAATTTTAGTCTATTGTGAGTGTTTTCACCCTCGAATTCTTGGGGTACTTAAATTTTGGCTCCATGTTCCATGTTCAACAATGGATATTCATGTTTTTTGCCTCTAATTCTTGGAATTTCCACATGTACATAACTTGGCCATATGGCAGTGTGTCAAAACCTTGTACCCCTGGTGAACATCAAAATAGCTGGTAAATGGATGTTCATCCCCCTAAAAATGGTATTAATAGGTATTGATCCATACCCATATGGATATGTTAACGTGTTAAGCCATTTAATGCCCATCCCGGGATGATGGCCATGGCCAATTTGGCGGCCCCCCGCGCCGTCGCGCCAAGCGTCGCTTGCGCTTGGCGCGCGACCGGTCCGGTGCACCGTGGCGGTCCGCTGGGCGCGACGGTGTCCGGGGCGAAGGCGTGGGCAATGGCGGAGAGCATGGTATTCTTTGTTTAGAGCGATCATCCTGCTTGGTAAGAATTAAAAAAGTGGTTATAAACTGTGGAACATCGTGTTTAACCTGGCTATACTGCATATACTAGTACAATTCATATAGAACCGGATTGTTCTAGATGGTTGGAGTGCCCATTTAGCAACTGGGATGCACATCCAATTATTGGAATTATACTAGCATGATTCTTCATGGTTATCAGCCTGTAGCATGCTGCTTAGCCATCCTTCATGGTCCTTCATGCTAACGAAAATGATGCCATACAATGGAAGGGGATGGATAGCTGATAGAGACTGTAGCATCCAATAGCATGGCTGAGGCTTGTTGGGATTTCACCCACTGGATGTTGTTTGTTTCTTGTTTCCGAAGGAGGCTATGGATTGATAATCAGGTTGATATGCCAAATTGTATGGGCACGTGAAGTTGATATCCAATGCAGAATCAATCCAGAATCGCATGGCTATTTGGGTTGATGTGTTGCAATTGATGTGCAATTTTGTCAAGGGCTTGAGTTGCCATATATATAATATATAATATATATATAATATAATATATATATATATTGACACTCCCCAAGAAATCTGCCTGCTTACCTGCTTCGTGTTGTCACATGTTTGACACTCGGTATACCCAAACGACAAGGTCTTCAGAGTCTTCAGAGCCTAGAGGTTTTGGGACAATCACATCACGAGGACAGCATTGTGGCTGAGTTGCCAATGAAACAGAGCTTGGATGATATTGTTCTTGAGGTATCTACTCCACTCTCTGTACAAGATGTTCAAATCGTTTTGAAGATTCATTTCAGGAGTTTACGGAACTTTGAAGCATAGATGTTTTGGGGTTCATTTGTATTCATTTCTGCCATTGCCATTTCCAGGCACCACGGGCTCTGCAGGGGTCATGCTTCATTTCTTCAGCGATTTCTGGAGCTCTTCTAGGCTCAATGGCTTCCGTTGGGGGGAATTTTGGGTTTCGGTTTCGAAGTGCCAGGTGTATCTGGAAAATCCCAGTTATTGAGGTAGTGAACTCGTATTTCTAAGGGCAAAAAGGCCCCAGTTTCCAAATTTTCCAACCACTCCAACTTACAAAAAAGGCGGCCTGTCAAGCTGATTTATATAATTCTATTTGTTGATGGCAAAACAACAGAACAGACCATGAGTTTATGACACTTGTTCGATGTTTGGGTCTTTTCGTTTGGATGAGATATGTAGCTTACATATATTTGAATATAGCTCGAGTACCTGGATCATCATTTGAATCTTGGCCTTTCTTCTTTCAAGATGTGTTTCTGTTCTTCGATTTGCATTTTTCGACGAATGGGAGACGAAGCAACAAACGAACCATGGCCTCCTTTGTGTCCAACATGGAAAATCCATCCGTGGCCATAAATGGAGGTTCCTAGCTGGAAAAATCACACCATAAGTTAAATATATATATATATATAAATGGTGATATGGATTTAATGGGAAAATCACCACATGGTGATATTTTTTCGGTGGGTTTTTCATGGGAAAATCAACCATAAACGGTTGACCAGTTCAAATCCTCAGAAAATTCTCATCATATTTCAACATACCAGTATGATGTGCCTACATATTTATTTATTTGTCTAATCCATATAATTCCATATACAGTATATATATATATATACATAATAGATCAGAATATATATATATATATTCATAACGATTAATTCTTATATACACATATAACAACTGTAATATACATCATATATATATGATATATGTAGATCCCCATGATAATCCCATTATCTCCTAACGAAGATACCATGCCACTTTTCTCTCTCCAGTCTCCCAGTCTCTGGGGTTGTAAAGAGGCGCGTCGAGGAAGTGGCGAAAGCAGAGGCGACTGAAAAAAAGCAGTGGCCTACATGGAATGGTGCAGGTGGCATCACAGGTGATGTCCACAGTGTATACCCTCCAGTAAATTAACATAGACCCTGCCAGATAGGGGTTAGAAGATTAGTTTCCTCTAAAAATTGGTGATTTTCAGGGTCTATGTTAATTTACAAGAGGGTAACAGTTGTGTTTTTTGCGATGTCTAACCATCACCAATTGCATTTTCAAAATGTGGTTTCACCATTGAAAAAAATGGGGTAAACCAATGAATGTCATAATTTTATGGGGATGAAATGTGGATTTATCGGGTGATGTTTGAACCATTTTCACAGAAAGATCCACGCAGCATAATTTGTTTGCTAGGTATCTATAGGTATCTATCTATAAGCTTGGTCATGGTTCCATAGCAACAAAAAAACAGAGAATTAGGATCTCTGACCAGCCACAATATCTGGGTAAACCTTAGAGATAGTTTTTCACTTTAGTATATTCTTATAAATAGGGATATATCAAGCTAGTCACCTGAAAATCGACTTTTCTAGCAGGATATGTAAGATTGGCATTGTTTCATAATCAACTTTATATTTTATTATATAATCACAATTTGTCTTTGTCAAATGTTTAGGAAACAAAATGGGCCTAAATTATTCATTTTTAATAGTGCTTCGCATTACAAACCATCCATTTGGAGATCCCGCATTTATGGCAGCCCCTATATATATATAATATATATATATATGTATACCATAAACATCCATAAAACCTGCTATATCCGGTCACTTCTTCAGCCTCAAACATTCTCTGCCAGGCTCCGATTCTTCGCTTCCGCGGCGACCATGTCGCCTTCGGAGGCCACATCAAACATGGGCTGATTGTTCCAGCGAACTAACCCTCCATTTCCCAGAATTTTCCAGCCATGTCTGATTCCTAGAGGATCCAGAGGCTAGTTGATTGTTGAATGAGTTGTCTTCTGATAGGTTGCTGAAGCTCCTAATTGATTTAGCGAAATCCAGGAACCGATTCCCTGGAAAAATCACCCCACATCTCTCGTTTGGGTCTGAAAAATGTTAACCCTTGGTTCAGAAAGATTCAGAAAGTATAGGCTAATATCCCCTAAGGCGCTTATACTAATTTAAACTATAATGTCTAGCGAATTTTGAGAGAAAAGTCACCTTCCAAGCCTCAAACTTGTTCGCATTTGGAACGCCAGGAGAACGTGGCGTTGGTCTTCGTCAAGCCGCACGCAGCTACACCGCAGGCAGGGGATTTGGAGAAAACTGGCCATTTGACATAGTTTGACCAATAAAAATGGGACGAGCTTCCACAGAAACAGGAGCTGAAGCAAGAAACATGAGAGGTTTCACCAACAAAAATGGTGATTCAATCAACAACAAGTAGGGATTTGACAAACCAAAATGAGGAATGCATAGCCTACCATTATGGTGGATGTTTTCACAGCAAAACTGGCATGTCATAAACATATTTAAGAGAATGCAACAGCAGAGTTCAACATGTTTTTCTGAAATTCAACATTTAGCCACTGTAAAGCCTAAACAGAACAGAACTAGATAGAACATGGATGGGATCCTTGAATCAAGGCTCGTCACCATTGTTCAATGGATCAGGTAAGTTGCCCCGCCAGGTCTTGAAACTGGTCCCGGACTTCCTTCGTGAGAAGGGCCTTGAGGCTGGGGGTTGGGGGTTGCATGGCTTTGATGCCCCAGGTTTGAAAGGAAAATCATGGGACATGACATCGGAAGATCATGCAAAAATGCTGGTAAAATCCTGGAAATTGATGGTCATCCAGGGAAAATCATGAAACATGAAGAGGACTTCCGCTGACAGGTGAGATTACCACATGGGGTCGAACTTGACATCTGCAAAAGTTGGATGGATAGAAGCAGAGATTGGCCACATTCCATGAGCCCCGCAGACAGGGCTAGGGGATGAGTTGGGTGAACTAACTCCCCCAAAGCTGAAAAACACCACGGCACCGGGGCTGCAGTTTAGATCTTAGTAGTGGTTATAGAATCTTAGAAGTTTTATAAGTTGTAGTATAAGTTATACAGGTATATACAGCTTACATAAGTTCTAAAAGTTATAAGTTAAGACTAACCATAGTATACCATAATGATAGGCTCCCCGGTCCCCGGCTTTCAAAATCCCGTCGTTATCGCAAGTCGCGCACCGCGCCGCCGCGCTGGTCCCTGGGACGGTTTCGCAGTGCCGCAGGTCCTGCGCTCTGGTAGCATTGAGTCCAGGGAGATTGAGGTGCAGCCAGATGTAACGTTGGTGATAGATGATACCCTCTGGTAAACATACAAAAAACGATGGAAAATCACCATTAATTAATGGGAAAATCCACTATGGTAATGTTTAATAGCTATGTTAAATTACCGGAGGGTAGATCATTGATGATCATTGGAATCAACTATTATAGATCGTAATATATCTATAGATGATATTGATCATAAACTATTAATTGATGATCAACTATTATTGATGATATTTGAATATATTTGATATACTGATGATATACTCATAAATGGAGGTTTCCGACAAGTCATGGGAGTACCAGTTATCATCCAGACGTCAGACCTCCAATCCAACATGGCTACGTAGCTTGGAAATTCTCGTTCACGAAAGGCAAGTATTAGTGGTAAAAAAATCTATCAAATGTCCAGCAAGCCGTTTTTTTTTGCCAGAGGGATCCAGATTCTGTTTGTGAATGATAATGACAAGGAAGGATGACATTAAACCATCGTATGTCAGTTTCAGAATCTCGCTGGTCCGATGGGTGAAAATCCCGGAAAGCTCTGGGGAAATCTGGATGGAATGACCATCAAACAGAAAAACAATGTTTTGACCCCCAGGTTACCAGGTTGGTAATTCACAATCATATGATGTCATATGATGTCATATGATTACGTTGGCAGTACAACAATCAAAGTAAGACTGATAAAACATGATTTCTAACGGTGAAAATAACGGTATTTTTAGTGTCAGTGGCTCATACTGGCGATCCCAAGGACTGGGGGACTATGACGCCCCCACAAAAAAAGATGGTCACGTAATTTTCCCTCATGTCCCAGTATGTTTTCCTGAATTTTTCCCGGTATTTTCGTAGGATATACATGGACTGGTTGGTGGTTTGGAACATGAAATTTATGACTTTCCATTCAGTTGAGAATGTCATCATCCCAACTGACGTTCACTAACTCATATTTTTCAGTGGGGTAGGTATACCATACCACCAACCAGTATTCTTTATTATTCATTAGATCAGGTATTAATCACTATTAAGCACTATAAATCACTACTAACCACTATAAAGCACTATTCACCAACCAGTGGAGCTAATCCAACGGGGTTCTAAAAATAACGGGCCAGGGCGTGGAGAGCTGCTCGCTGGGTTTTCGCCGCCAGGAGAGCGGGATCATCGATGCGCATTATGCGGCCATCGCAGCAGTTGGAATGGCCTGGGACCCCTTGGGACCCCTTGGGATCGCGCAGATCCGGCACGCAGTCGGTACGCAGTCGGTACGCTTGGTATATTCGTTTGACAAGACCAAGACAAGTTCGACTACATCAACAAGGTCTCAACAATCATTTTTATGAACATCATATATCCTCATATGATCTTGATATATCTTGATGATACTGTGGATGGAACAAATCCTGCATCACCAACCGGATGCTTGAAACCCGAACTAAATAATGGGATGTTTACCACCGTTTTCAACTGCTGCAGGATTTTGCTGGCCCATCCACAGCAAGTCAGGGTTTGTCTCAATACATGGAACATGATGGAACCCTAAACCCCCATTGATGTTGATCAACCAGCGTTTTCAACTGCAGGATTTCTTCCATCCACAGCATGTTACCCTCTGGTAATTTAACGTAGCTATTGAAAATGGCCATTTATAGTTGATTTACCCATTAAACATGGTGATTTTCCATAGTTATGTTAGTTTACCAGAGGGTACCTACCTCTGTTGTTCCAACGGTCATCAAGGCCCGGGACGTGACATCGCTGGGCCGCACGGCTGAGAGTTCGGCGGACGGTTTTGGTTTGTTTTTGCGGTGCAGGGGTCGAGTTCTTTTATCTGGTCTGGGTAAATTATAACGAGCTCACTGCGACCTCACTGGAATCATAGTTAATAAGGGAAATCATCCCCAAATGGCCTTATTTCAGGTTAGTGAATTATTATAATTCACCCAGATCTGGTGGGGATACCCCAATAGCTGGATGGTTTATAAGGGAAAATCAACATAACCATAGTATGTATAACTATACTGGACTATACTGGTTGGTGGTTTGGAACATGACTTTGATGTTTCCATATATGGGATGATCCTTCCCATCGACTAATATTTTTCAAGATGGTTAAAACCACCAACCAGTTATGGTTGATGGATGTTGATGGTTTCAAGTACTGTAAGAATCAAAGAATTGGTTAACATTTTTTGGTACAATTGGAGATGGTAATGTTATAGTATGGTTGATGACACACTACTGTACTTACTGGTTGGTTTCAAGATGTTTCAAGTAAGATATTAGTTGATTGGGGATCATCGTAACTACCCTATGGTAATTTTTCACAGGTGTCTATGGAAAATTACCATCGTTCATTGGTAAAACATCGAACTACATCGGCAATAAATGCCCTGGCTATGTTAAATTACCGGAGGGTATAACCATTGAATAGATCATACATTATCATGAGCATCAAGACACCTGAGATATTTTGTAAACCAACTGGTGGAAAGGTAGTTTCAGGTGTATCTCTTTCCATTTTGATGGTTTTCGTTGTACTGACAGTTAACCTGAGAATGCAGAATCAAAGTATCGAAGATCGGCCGTGACGTTTATATCCATGTGTGCTCCATTCAATACCACAATTCTCAGCTATGCAGTGCATTCATTTTTGCAAGTCTTCCCAGAGATATACCATGCCACCATGCATTTGACTGAGTTGATTCTCTAATGTGGACACCCTAAATTCGAGAACAAGATCCCAAAGTATTGTTGTCTTTGATTTTTCACGAACATATGAAGCTTTTGACCCTGGGCCGTGTGTATGACGACACGCACGAAAACAGGCAATCCTCCCGGGTACCAGTGTTTTTCCTGGAGCTTTCCCCAAAATACGGAGATCGCGCCAAAGTTTGGTTTTTCCTACTACTGACGATTGCCATGTGTGGTACCGTAATGGAAATCCCAAGAATTGTTTGAGGAACCCTCAACCATAGCCATGGTGAAACCCCAGTTGGAACCATTTCTTGTGTAGGGATTCTTCACTGCCGGGTTTCTGAACCATTTCTGTTTGTTTGGGGTTCCAGGGAACATCAGCCGAGGACTCGAAGAAGTGGAGGAGAAGTTCAAAGTTTATGGAAGGCTAGGTCAGCTGCGCCTGTTGTCATTGAGATGTGTTGTTTTACCCTCTGGTAAATTCACATAGACCTTGGCAGATAGGGCTTGGAAGATGAGTTTCCATCAAAACCAGGCTATTTTCATAGACTCTACGTTAATTCACCAGCGGGTAATGTCTTTGAGTTTTTCAGACAGTTTTACCCGCTGGTAAACTAACAGTTAGCTATTGTTTAAATGGCCATAGAAATGGTGGATTTACCCATTAAAAATGGTGATGTTCCATAGTTTTTTGTATGTTTACCAGAGGGTAAATGGTCATAGAAATGGCCCAGTCGAAATGGTGAGTTTTCCCATTAAAAATTGAAGGACCTGGAAGCCCAACAAACAGCGTAGATCATCTATGTCGGACCCGTGGGGTCTCCCGACCTTGGGGAAGTCCTCCGAATCCATTGGATGGTTACCATCTGGTTATGACTCACGGTTTGCCATGGAAAATGGTAAAAACCATGTTTAAGAACGGTAAACCTCTATTTCTCTGGGCCATCTATACCATGGCTATGTTAGTCATAACCAGAGGGTAAATCTATTTTTGTTGATAGATTAAATATATTAAATCCCAATTCTCATTTTTTGAAATGACGTGAAATCCCAATTCTGATAGGTTCAACTCCCAGCTCTGCTTAAAAAGCCCCGCTTAAGAAATATGTCAAACCGCCTGTGGGGACCGCGCTGCAATACGCGCCGAACACAGGACGCTCCCCGAAGCGGTGGAAGCTGGAGAAGTTTGCAGTGCTGTGACAGCCATGGAGGCGATCGAGGACCAACGATGGCGATGACTGGGTCTAATTATAAATCATCCAATGATATAGTGGATTTTCCTATGAAAAATGGTGATTTTCCATAGCTATGTTAAATTACCAGAGGGTATATGATGTATATGATGTATAACTGGTTGGTGGTTTGGAACCATGGAATTTTATGACTTTCCCATCATATTGGGAATGGCATCATCCGAACTGACGAAGTCATATTTTTCAGAGGGGTAGGTATACCACCAACCAGATAAAATATAGTATAAGGATCAATGATGATATCATTATTGATATCAGTCTTGAAAATAAATACTTTTTTCTAATTTATGAAATTTTGAATTTACTGAATAGGATATAATGATAAGACAATGGAAATTAATATTTCCCTATACGCATATTTCTTATATATAGTAATAATATAGTAAAAAATGTGATTTAATATGATTCAATGAGGTGCTACTGGGGACATCATAGAATTGGATGATGGGAAAATTTACAGGAAAGCCCTATATCATATCTGATGGTAAAAACCATGGTTTCCTGTAAATTTTCCCTTAAACCAATCCAGTGAGGATACCATGAACATTTATATAAGGAGAGAACGAAACAACTATATCCAATTCGGGTGCGTGTTATCCACAATGGAAGATCACCCATGGATGTCAATGGATGTTACATGGATCAATGGGAGTGTTTTTCTAAATACCCGACCTGGTGATGTCAACAGTTTGCTATGGTATAGATGGCCCAGTCGAAATAGTGAGTTTTCCCATGAAAATAGCATGGTGGATCTTTCCACTTCGTTATGTGGCTGTTTTCCAGAGGCTAATGGAGATGTGGCCAACAATATTACCCTCTGGTTATGACTAAAAGTTGGCCATGGTGATGGAAAATCACCATGCTATTAATAGGTGGCCCATCTAAAAAACCATCTGTTTCGATTAGGGCCATCTATACCATGGCTACGTTAGTCATAACCAGAGGATATTTGGGTCATTTGGGCTATGAAAAGCGGGTACTGTAACCATTACACGAAAACATAGACATGTTGAGCCAATGGATTTGGGGTACCCAATTTTCCAGAACCTATTTTAACAAAAAGCTGAGAAACTCTGGGTAGATCATAACGATGGTACCCTCTGGTAATTTAATGTAGCTATTGAAAATGGCCATTTATAGTGTGAAAATGGTGATTTTCCATAGCTATGTTAAATTACCAGAGGGTATATGATGTATATGATGTATAACTGGTTGGTGGTTTGGAACCATGGAATTTTATGACTTTCCCATCATATTGGGAATGGCATCATCCGAACTGACGAAGTCATATTTTTCAGAGGGGTAGGTATACCACCAACCAGATAAAATATAGTATAAGGATCAATGATGATATCATTATTGATATCAGTCTTGAAAATAAATACTTTTTTCTAATTTATGAAATTTTGAATTTACTGAATAGGATATAATGATAAGACAATGGAAATTAATATTTCCCTATACGCATATTTCTTATATATAATAATAATATAGTAAAAAATGTGATTTAATATGATTCAATGAGGTGCTACTGGGGATATCATAGAATTGGATGATGGGAAAATTTACAGGAAAGCCCTATATCATATCTGATGGTAAAAACCATGGTTTCCTGTAAATTTTCCCTTAAACCAATCCAGTGAGGATACCATGAACATTTATATAAGGAGAGAACGAAACAACTATATCCAATTCGGGTGCGTGTTATCCACAATGGGAGATCACCCATGGATGTCAATGGATGTTACATGGATCAATGGGAGTGTTTTTCTAAATACCCAACCTGGTGATGTCAACAGTTTGCTATGGTATAGATGGCCCAGTCGAAATAGTGAGTTTTCCCATGAAAATAGCATGGTGGATCTTTCCACTTCGTTATGTGGCTGTTTTCCAGAGGCTAATGGAGATGTGGCCAACAATATTACCCTCTGGTTATGACTAAAAGTTGGCCATGGTGATGGAAAATCACCATGCTATTAATAGGTGGCCCATCTAAAAAACCATCTGTTTCGATTAGGGCCATCTATACCATGGCTACGTTAGTCATAACCAGAGGATATTTGGGTCATTTGGGCTATGAAAAGCGGGTACTGTAACCATTACACGAAAATATAGACATGTTGAGCCAATGGATTTGGGGTACCCAATTTTCCAGAACCTATTTTAACAAAAAGCTGAGAAACTCTGGGTAGATCATAACGATGGTACCCTCTGGTAATTTAACGTAGCTATTGAAAATGGCCATTTATAGTGTGAAAATGGTGATTTTCCATAGCTATGTTAAATTACCAGAGGGTACCACATAGGAACATCTCCCCTACTTTACGAATGACAAATTGTGTTTGAGATCTGCCAACACCTGGTCAATCCTGGTCATCCAACTCACTCTTCCGAATTGCTAGCATCATCCATGCCTTTTACGTGATACCAGTCAGTATGAAAATGTCGCTGTGACCGATCAGAAAGACAATGACTACTATTCGGCTGGTCCAATGGATAATTGTGCCCGTATTGCCGGAGTACTGTCAACCGTCAACCTGAATGGGGTGACATCCCATGAAAAAGTATTTGTATGTACCGGTCAAGAAGCATGGTCATTCAATATTGCGTATTGAGATGCTTCTATAATGAACCCTGGCTGAGAGAGAACTCCAAGAAGTTGTTTGTTTCGTATTGGTAATTGGCAAAACCACTACATATATTATTCAAATCAAAGTTTTATGGATCCTGAATATGGGTACACTATACACATACATATACAACCATATACATACATTATACTCATTTACACTCACAATCATTTCATTCTTAACATATATATATATTATATAGATATGTGCGCCCTATCTATGTATTGTCATAATCTGAATATGTACGTATATATATATATATATTATACATACATATCATGTACGTATCACAGAATTGGATGACGGGAAAATTTACAGGAAATCCCTATATTTGATGGTAAAAACCATGGTTTCCTGTAGATTTTCCCTTAAACCAATCCATTGAACATATGATGTTCCACTATGTAGCACGTCCTCAGCACCAGCGGACTCCGGCTGACTCCGGCTGCAGATTTTGGACGTGGATCCCTCCGAGCTCTTGCGTCGCTGCCTCGCAGCAGGCTATGAGAAACTCAGGCGCCCCCGGTGCATCCCAGGCGAAAAATGGATGGGTTATTATATATAGATATATTATTATATATAATAATGGTTATATATATATATACATATATATATATATAATAATTAACCATTATATAATGATATATATATATAATATATATATATATATAATAATGGCTATATATATATATATATATCTGGGTAAATTATAACGACCTCATTGCGACCTCACTGGAATCATGGTTAATAAGGGTAATTATCCCCAAATAGCCGTAGCCTTAATTCAGGTTAGTGACATATTATAATTTACCCATATATATATATGTATATCATTAAAAAAAACATTATATATTATATATTTATCATGGATGTGAATTATCATATAATTATATATAGATACATGATAAATTAACCATTATATAATATTATATATGTGATAATGGTTATACATCTGGGCTATAATATATATATATATATTAATGATCACCATTACATATGGGTTATATAATGGGGAATAGTGATGACTAATGGTGATTATTCATGATTCATAATGATGATTGATGTTGGTAAAGCAATGTCATAAATCACCCATAAACATGGATAATTTTTGGGGACGGTTGATTATTGCTTTACCAACATTATATATATAGATGATTTTCCCATGTGCAGCAATAAAACGATTCATTGGGGATGGCCATTGCTGAATTTCTGGACCATTCCCCATTTGGTGTTTGGCGGTTTTCCCAACTATCTCAGGATAGTTCCGGCGGAAATTTTCCCAACTATCCCAGAAAATGTTGGGCGGTTTGCCCATCAGAAAATCCCTAAAAAGGCTTCATTTCTGATAGGATGGGGAGTTGCCAGCTACGTTTGACGCCAGAGGGCGGGATTCAAACATTTTGCCGCATGGAAGAAGCCACCAAGAGTTACCAAGCACCATTCCCTTAGCATTGGCTGAAGCAGTTGATTGATGATGGTCGTTTGCCGATTTAGGGTGCTGAATAGCCGTTTATACTTTATTTACAGGGAATAATCATAACCATGCTATAACCAATCATTTCAAGAGGTTCAAGTCCCGTGAAAACTCCACATGATGTGGCAATCCTTTCATTAAGCCTGATGCTGGGAAGATGTGGCAAGGGGTATCATGCGGTGGTGGATTTCTCCTAGGGTTCTCGATCCTTGGATGATATGAACCCGTGAAAATCACCTGGTGCAATTTTCATGACCAAACACGGGATGGAAAATTGGGTGCCAACACTACAAAAACATCGAGGATACTCATGGTTAGCCGGGTGAATGATAGATTAGTGAATGGCTTCATTCTAGCCTCCTTTACATACGTAAAAACATAGATGATTCTACCCACCATGAAAGAAATGATCATTTTCAGAACGGGAAATCATGGGTTATCCACCGTTGATGAAAGCCTTCCTTTTTGCCTGGGCGAAAGAACACGGGCCTTTACTAGCTCTATGGCTCTGGTTTGCCAACATGGTTTATATTAACACGTTTCCCCTTTTATAATCCTGCATTTACAGAAGACATGTGGATTCCCATCCTTTGGGGACTCCACTGGAAGGTCCGGCCTCTACTGCGCACGCTTGGAAGGTGGCCCGACGGGACAGCACCTTGACGGAAAGATCATGTAGGAAAAATGGCGGTTTATTGGGATTTAACCAACAAAAATGAAAAAGGGTGATGTTAATGGGATTTGTATGTATATATATATATAGATACCATGTGGTTAAAACAATGCCATAAACCACCCATTTGGGAAGGGTAAACATACCACCTATGAAAATGGTGATGACTGGGGGATAGTTTATTATTGCTTACATTATAACGAATGTAAGAGAATGTAGGAGATGTGTGTACATATGTATATGGAGATATCTAATGTGAATTAGGGGATTTAGAGATATGATTTTAGAGTGTAAATACGATACGATAAGATCAGATAGGATTAGATTGGATTGGTAGATACTGTAGATATCATTTATGGTTAGGATTGGGGGAATAATCCCATGGCTGAACAGTTCAGGTCGGGGAATGATCATATTTCATCCAGATAAATATACACATAGAGGGCAGGGCGCTTTGAGTTGTTCCTGTTTCCAGGACTTCAAGCGTTCAACCGAACCCCACTGTGGTGCTAGATCCAAGCCATTCGCCATGGTTTAGAAACTGCCCATGTCACTGGTGGTCAGAGTTGTTGCCAGAAATAGAAAGGTCTGGCAGTAAGAAGAATTTGGTGAGAATGAATCATTTGTACCCGTAAAGGTTGCCCTTTACATCCTGAAAACATCCTGAAAACATCCTGAAAACATCACAGCAGTACCCCTTTCCATCACACCAGAGTGGACCCTTCATCCTGCCATGAAGAGACCAAGGCTTTTTGTGCTCAATGGCTTCTATTCGCGGATGCGTGAGAAGCCCCTCACCGATGGAAGGGTGTGCTTGGATGTGACGGGATACCCCTTCTCCCTCCCTGCACGCTTGCGGCCTGCAGCCCAAAAGTTGGGGCATTGTCAAAAGAAAAATGCAGAACTTAGATGAAGTAGCATGGTTGTACAATAACTGGTTTGGAAATGTTTGGAACATTTTTTCCATATATTGGGAATGTCATAGTCCCAACTGACGAACTCATATTGTTCAGAGGGGTAGGTAACCATACTACCAACCAGATAATTTACATGAAAAACCAACATATCACCTGGGGCTATAGATCCGAGCCTACATCATTTGAGCAAACGAGTTAGCCATGTTATCATTTTGCAGCCTCCCTGGCAAAGATTGATCATCGTATTCCTGGCTCTTCAAATTGCAATTTCGGGAGTACACCTCATTTTCAGACACACCCAAACTATTGTGGTTGGATATTATATATATATCATCATGATATCCCTGAAAAATAAAACACCAAATCCCTGGTGCTGGCTAAATCCAGCCAATGGCTTCCAAAAACTTCTCCTAAAATGTGATGACTCATCTGGACCTGTTGGGATGTTGGATACACCGTTGGCAGCACGGCCTGCCGACTGCCTTTCGGAGGTTTACCACGGAGGGGGTCACGGTGCATTGGTTTGTGGTCAGCTGGCATCAGTCACAGTTGCCAGCTCCTCAGCACTGCACCCTGCCCTCTGGTTATTTAACATAGCTATGGTATAGATGGTCCATAGAAATCAATGATTTTCCCAGAAACCTCCATTTATGGTTGGGATTTTCCAGCCAGCTATGTTAGTCATAACCAGATGGTACTAATATCAAATTTGGATAAATTTAAGGGATGTATATATATATATGTATCTCCGACCTTGAGGGTCTAACTACTGTAACCTTTCCAATTATTAGCTTTTTTTTTGGAGTCCCTCCACACAAGGTCATCCTAATCATGCCATGATTTTAGGGGGTTTTATTAGATCCTCATAAATCTCCCCTGGGCTTAAAAACACATCAAACATCCCCAATTTGTATCATTTTTTTCTATATAGTGGCATTAAATCATATACATCATCAAGCATCCCCAAGTTGTTCCAATCATTTACTTGAACCATATACATCAACACATCAATCATATATATCATCAAGCATCTATATAGTGGGCTTCAAACCCAACATGTTTCGATCTAAATTCGATCATATATCATCCTCAGGCATCCATTAAAATCTTCCATCATTCAATCGATCTAAAATCGATCTAAAATCTTCCATCCCCATAGGATCCATGGTGCTGGTATATATGCTAACATAAAGGGGGTATATTGATGGAATCCATGTTACCATATATACCATACATGGATCCTATGGGATATGAACCTTGCACTTTGCTTCGTTCTTTGACCACCGTTGATGAAAGCCTTCCTTTTTGCCTATGGAAAATTACCATTTTCAATGGGTAAATCCACTATAAATGGCAATTTTCAACAGTTATTTTGACATAACCAGAGGGTAAAATCCCCAAATCCCTCCTTTCGAGGCCATGGAGCGACTTTCGTCGCCAGGTGATTGGTGCCACGAATCCCACGGCGCGGATCGGCTAGCACCGTTGCCTTAACGAAAAGTGGCTGATTTCTATGGGTTTATGGATGGTTTATGGTAGATATAACCTGATATAACCCTAGAATACTTTTTTGATATCTATAGATAACATTATAGTTTTCTAATGGGGTTTATTTCAAGCAACGTGCAACAAACAACTGGGGCACCATCCTGTGGGGGTTTATGAACTATTTTATAGTTGGAAAACATGTATAAATCCATTGTTATATATAGTGTTAGTTATTAACCATTTATAGTTGGAAAAAAAACATTGTTATAGTTATAAACCATCTATAGCTGGAAAAAATCATTCGCTATAGTTTACTATAGTTCTATTAACATGTGTAAACCATCGTTCACCAACTCATTTTTTCAGTTGTTTTTAGTTGTGTCCTGTTTTGCGGGTTTATATGAATTTTATATGCATTGCTTGAAAAAGTACACACTGGAGAAAATACGTGACACATGCATAATTATGTATAAATATACATACATATGTATATATATATACATATGTATGTATGTATCCCATAGGATCCATGTATGGTATATATGGTAACATTTACCATCAATATACCCCCTTTATGTTAGCATATATACCAGCACCATGGATCCTATGGGATATATTCCCTTTTTGTTGGATGATGTGGAAAATCATGACATTTACCAAGCCAAAGCAAGTTTTTGACTTTTTTTCCGGGAATGAATCCCATCCCCTCTTCATAGAAAAACTAGTCCCACAAAACAATTGTTTAATAGGAAATTTACCAACTTAAATATATTTTATGGGAACACAAAATAATTGTTTAACATGTTTAATAGGATTTACACATATTTGGGAACACTAATATAACAAGGTGTTTAATATTAGCTTTGTGGGAGTTCATTGTTTCTCTTTCAACCCTAATTTTGGATTGGGAGGATTCCACACTGGAACCTGAGACTACCAACTCGTTTGTGCTGGCCAATTGCAGTTTCATCAGATGCGGATGCCTGATTACCAATGACATTCAGATACGACCCTCTGGTTACTGTATTTAACATAGCCATGGAAAATCCCCATTTTTAATAGGTAAACCATCTATTCACCCCGCTTCGCGTGGGGTGGCCGCCCACACCGCAGGTTTATTTCGGTCCGTGAGAGGGGCTAAGGGTGGTTTTCCCCCGTGGGGGCTCCCCAAGCTAAGAATTTTCACTTTCCCCCCCCCGTGGGGGTCCCCAAGCTAGGGAATTTTCACTTTTCCGGGGCTCCCCAAGCTAGGGAATTTTCAGGCTCCCCAAGCTAGGGAATTTTCACTTTTCCCCCCCGTGGGGGCTCCCCAAGCTAGGGAATTTTCACTTTTCCCCCCCGTGGGGGGCTCCCCAAGCTAGGGAATTTTCACTTTTCCCCCCCGTGGGGGGCTCCCCAAGCTAGGGAATTCCCACTTTTCCCCCCGTGGGGGCTCCCCAAGCTAGGGAATTTTCACTTTTCCCCCCCCGTGGGGGCTTCCCAAGCTAGGGAATTTTCACTTTTCCCCGCCGTGACAGCTTGGAATTTTCACTTTTCCCTCCCTTGGAGGCTCTCCAAGCTGCGGAATTTCAAATAGCTAGACAACGACGCCTAGATAGTCCCCCAAATCCCGTGTTCTTTGAATGTGTTTCCATGTTTTTGCAATGGTTTCCTTCAAAGCACGGTACTTTACACTTTTGTCGCCATAAAACCGGTCGAAAACATCATGTTCGACAATGCTTCCAATTCCCTTATCTCCCCAACCGTTGAAAATACCGCTATTTACAGTGTTTTCTTCAATTTTTCCATGTGCCAATGCCGGTAGCCAACTCCAACATATATATAAGAAATCCTTCCAAAACATTGTTTTTGACAGTGTTTTTCCAATGTTTCCAGTCAAACAGACGGTAATTTACACGTTTTTTGCCATAAAGGCAGTAAATCCTTCCAAAACATTGCTTTTGACAGTGTTTTTGTAATGTTTCCAGTCAAGCATACGGTAATTTACACGTTTTTTGCTATAACGTCAGTCCAAAACACTTGTTTTTGCAGTGTTTTCAATGCTCTGGCATCCAAAAACCCTGCAAAATCTTGCTATGTACAATGTTTTTTTCATTTTTGGCCGTTTTTCCATTGCCGGAAAGCTACCAAAATGACCCAAAATTCCATTTCAATACCCTCTTGTGCTCAGACACCCAAAAATCCTCGAAAAATGTCGAAAACACCACCGTATTCTGGTCTCGGTGCGAAACCGTTTTTGGCCCCCCCCCCCAGCTAAAGCTGATATAGCGACTGCTATATTAACAAATGTCATTGAGCATTTAGTGTTGCTGTTGCCCCCCAATAAGCACGCCTTCACCGCCAAAGCGGTGTGGGCGGATTTCTGTGGGCCATCTATACCATGGCTATGTTAAATAACCAGAGGGTAATGTATAAGATCCTCATGTTTGCCAGGAAACTGATGATTTTAGATAGAGACTGGCTCAAACCCAAAGATCTCCCAATTACCAAAGGGGTTTGAAAACCTGGTCACTCTCCATTTGCATCGATTCTTCACGGCATCCGAAATATTCGAGGCCGAGCCAAACAGTTTCGTATCGGATCTCATGTGTCTGAAACTCCGCACAGGATGCCGTGGAAGGCTCTTTGAGAGCCAGGACTATGGTAGACTTGGAACCAGTTGAACCAGCTTAGATTTGTTTTCCAACATGATGGGATCAAAAATATGTCGTGGCTACTGTAGTGTTTTATGTTGTTTTTGTCCGACTGTTTTTCCATGTTTTGTGGCCCCTTGGCATCTCAAAGATGAAGAGAACGGATCAATTCCGAGCTTAGTTAATCAAATACAAATGGATAATCAGATAATCTATGATAATCTCTAATCACTAATCCAGACATGTTGATACCACAGCTAATGATTAGCTGCTAATCAGACTTAAATCGGAGTTATTTCGATAAAGCCTTGTTGTTGTTGCTTCTTGTGGGTGGGATTTTCAGACGGTGCAACGAGAAAACCCTCAAACATCAACAAAAAAACTTGGTGAGACACGGGGTGTTGCTCCTGGAAGGATCAGAGATGAGTGGCAATCCCTGGGTTTGAAAGAAGAAACAAACTATCAGGACCGATCTGGACCGATCAAAATGGCCCAGAATGCTGAGCAAGGGCAGATTTTTCGGATCTTTCCACCGCCCAAAAAATGGCAAGATCTCAGAAAATCTGCTGGTAAATCCCTGAAATGAATGGACAGTGTACAGGTTAAAAAATCGCAGGTTTGGGGTTGAACATGGACAGCTGTTTCTGGTTGAACAGCAGAATTGATGGTGATGTTCGCAGCATGGGAGATTGACCAGCGACCAGCAATGCCAGGCAAACAAAACATCATAGAATGCTGTACACCTGGTCGGTGATTTGAAACGGGATGTTCTACCAGCAAATGGGAGCTTTGGCCAAAGTGGGGATTTCATGCTACAATGCATTTACATGCATTTACATAACTGTATTGTACTAATATGTACTGTATATATATATATTCATATACATATATTATATATTATAATATATAAATATATCAACAGATGCACATAAATATGCGCATATAGAAAACCAGTTGGAACGGGTTGTCATCATCTCGAAGCAAGAACCACGATCTGGCAGGCCATCATGTGATTCGCAGGCCACTTGTGTGGCAACAGTTGTGCAGCAGTTGTTGAAACTAAACGTTTTTTTCATGAACAAAAACATGACTGGTTGGTGGTTTGGAACATTTTTTTCCATAATATATGGGATAATCCTTCCCATTGACTTTCATATTTTTCAGAGAGGTTGAAACCACGAATGAGAGGAGCACGGCTAATAAAACTGAGTTAAGGTGGATGGGTTGAAAACTCCAACTAGAAAACACTGGGACAGAAGAGTTGGTGATTGACGGAGGGGTGGAGATAATTATCAAAGAACCAACAGCGCAAGAAGTTTGCATTTCAAACAGACGCAGGGAATTCTTTGAGCAAATGCACGCGGTGAATCAACCCAAACAATGGATTTTGAGCAAAACTTGGCTCCAAAACACGGAAAACCTATCCTGAAGAAAAAAACACGTGGAATCTTCACTGTCTACATAGCACGTTGACTAACTTGGCTGCTGAAATGATGGATCCATGATTGCAAAAAGCAGGCTAAAAATCAAAATCCCACACACTTGCTCATGATCATGGGTGTTCTATCCCCACTTTGCAGGTTATATTTACAATTGTACATGTACTGTAAGTTGTTCCACTCTGATCCAATATGGTATTTCCATATATCTCCATGCCTACAAGATGAGGGCTCCCAGTTCTAAGTTGGTTCTTAAACCCATGAATACTATAGTTACTATAGATTACTATAGTATATATCCCTAAATAAACCCAAACGTTAACCAAGTTATGTGCTTCAACTTGAAACTATCAGACCTTTGTGGCTGTTGCAGGACAACGGTGTTCACGCTTCTGCCGGACCCCTCGAAGCTCTCCGGGAGCGCATGGCCCGGGGAACCCAGAGCAACCCAGGGCGTGGCCATGTTGGATGGTTAATCCATTGGGAAAGTGCCACGTTTTCCCGACGAACCAATAGCCATTTGGATCCATTTGGGGGTAGTCCCAGTATACCGGTCATACCATGTCATACCATGTCATACCTTAAGTCATACCCAAAAAAATAACTTGACCATGACTTGACCATGTAACTGAACATATTTTAGTATTACCCTTTGGAAAAACCCAAATATTGGGTCAAGTTTTCAGATCCCGCCCATGTAACTTGACCATGTGTGACATGTTGCATCCATCCACCAGTCCCCATTTTAAATTTTTGGGGAAGCTACAAACATTGGGTACCTCAAAAACGGGTAAACTGGTGAACAGCCCATACATAGCTGAGGATTTTCCATATGTCATATGTATATCAATATGTATGTATGATATCAATATGTATATACACCACTGCATTTATAGTGGTGTTATCCTCTGTGATTCATTAGCATGCCAGGCTAATGATGATGCGCGAACAGGGATCAAAAGTTTGCGATGCAAGCAATCTTAAAATGGACAAAGATGGACAAAGATGGACAAAGCCATTATATGCTGGGTGTTTCTCAGTATTTACAGATATTTACCATAGGTTAAACGGTTAAACCCATGGGTTTTCCCATTGGTTTTCCTGTTGAAAAAAAGCCAGAGCAGCCAGGTGTGGTTGGGTGACGACCCAGAGACGGACACCTTCGGTGGGCCCCAGTTAAGGGACCGAAGAGTGGGGGTACACCATAGCTGGATGGTTGATTTCATGGAAAATACCATCTATATATGGATGATTTGGGGGTGCCCCGATTTCAGGAAACCGCCATATAAGAATATGGTTCATAGGTTGGTTATGGTTGGTTCATAGTCTTTAAACTAGTTTGAGATAACTAGATTGGTTGGTTGTGACCACTCAATTTCAGTGGTAACATTAATTGATGAGACAATTAAGTGGTTGGTCTATGGGTCCCTTCATAATGATTTACGAATTTCAACCACTGAAATTTAATAATTTACTGGTTGGTGGTTTGGAACCATGGAATTTTATGACTGTCCCATCATATTGGGAATGTCATCATCCCAACTGACGAAATCATATTTTTCAGAGGGGTAGGTATACCACCAACCAGTTTATGTTTTGATACTTCTTGTTTTTTTGGGGTAAGCAGATATTGATGATATTTGAGAGAAGTAGACTCCGAGCGATCAAACCCATCACATATGGTTTCTTTTGTTGGACATTTCACGAATTGTTGGACAGTACTACAATATTCAAGGTTTGCATGAAAATAGGGTATCCCGAAATAACGTACTTTGCAGATATGTTTAATACCTCTTGGCCATGTTTGGGGCCATAAGTGGGGGCAAAATCCCTCCATTTGTTGGAGACACAGTCAGCATAGTCCCTTAAACACTTGAAACTTGAACACTGGGGGTGTGTGCAGTTCCAGTGATAAGTGGATAACCATGATATCCATAGTTGTTTTATGTTTTTTTCCGGGTGGTTTTTCCCAACGGCTGGTGATCACATCCGTTCTGCCCACCTATTAGCCCACGCCCACTTTCGCAAGGCCAAGAGCTTGCATCCACCTGTTCCATCCGCCCCCTGGTGGCAGGTCAGGTACTGGCAGATGCCACGACTGCCACGACATAGATTTACCCATGACGGATCCATGGTGCTGCTATATATGGTGTGCCATGGATCCCATCAATATACCCCCAACCAATGTTAGCATATATACCAGCACCATGGATCCTATGGGTAAGTCACTCTAGTCACTCGAGTGGCAGGTCTGGGATCCCTTGTGACGTTGTGTATACGTTGTGCAGTACTGAACATTGAGTGGTCACCGGATGTCACCGGTCAATTTCGGATTCGAGTTGATAGTGTTGCATGCCCTCCATCAAAAAAGACAAAGACTAGACAATGCAAATCGCTTGGTTGTAGATGATTTTCGTACTGGTTGTTTATTCTTTCGATTGCCATGTATTGCCATGTATTGCCATGTAGTGCCATGTAGTGCCATGTAGTGCCATGTATTGCCATGATTGACCTTCTATGGGGTATAGCAACCCCCCAAAAAAAGATTTCCGAACAGTTGGGAATCTTGGAACGTGGAAAAATCATCTATACTTTTCTGGCAACAGGTTTCGGCATCTTTTTTGGTGTTATCCATCATTGTCTACCAGTCTTCATGGTGTTGACCCAATCAGGTGGCCACCTGGGTGTTTTTAGTATGGTTTAAGTACGAAAATATGGGGGATAAAACATGATAAAACATATTTATTTATGTTTGATTGGTTGTGAGAATGGAATTATACTGTCTGGTTTTTTTTGATGTTTAATGGGGATTATTATAGGCCACAGTAGGGAAATCGTTTTCAACCAATTAGTATGAGATGGGATAGGATATAAAATTCATGGCTCAGTTGATTTGGCAAGATGAAATGGTGGCCCCATGTGACCTTTGGCCGATGAACTTATATATACTGTAACTGCTGATAGTCATTCATTCAAGTCGCCCCCAGCTGTAAGCTGTTTTATCCCAATATAGTTTACCATAAATCATAGCTAGTTACACAGGGCGCCCTGTTGATATGGCTTATAATTGTGCCCCTATTGTTCTGATCACAGTTCGAAATGAATTTCAACGATGGTATTTCTCATCAGAATAATTAAAGCCCTATTAAAGCCCTATATTAAAGCCCTATTAAAGCCCTATAAAGCCCTATTAAAGCCCTATAAAACCCCTATAAAACCCCTATAGTTCTACGATTTTTAACTCCACCGCTTTCGGTTTATCGATCTGGGCAACCGCCACCTGAGGTTTAAAGGACCTGGTGGAAAATCCCATCCTCGACGTCGATGGGAAGACCGGCTGGGGCCTAGCCTGGAGAAAAATCCTGTCGTGAAACCATGTGAAAAACTGAAAAATCCCATTGGTATATCTAGTATATCCCCTGGTTAGCTGGTGAAAGATACCTTAAGGTATAAACTTTTTGTGTAGCATTTTTTCAAAATATCCATATTATTGACTGTTGTTGGTGGTTTGGAACCATGGAATTTTATGTTCCATCATATTTGGGATGTCATCCCTCCCATTGACGAACTCATATTTTTCAGAGGGGTAGGTATACCACCAACCAGGTTATCTATGCTTATTGGCAACAAAAGAAAAATATCAACCCTTGGCCCATTGAGAGATCTGAATTAAGATGCTAGTTGAAACTCAATCACCACGGCTTATGTTAGAAGCCTGAACCAGTTGATTATTACTTCCAGATTTACATCATGATCATTGCCTCACCACGGCATATTTGTTCAACCACCTTGACCCATCGCCGCAGCTTCGTCAAAAAGATGGGAAATTCACCGCATTTTCATACCATCCCAGGTATTCGTGATTTCAAACGCAACTCATAAATCATTGGTTGGTTTTTGATCATGATCAATCATCTTAAATCAGCATTTATAACATTTTATAACATTTTATAACATTTTATAACATTTTATAACATATTATAACATTTTATAACATTTTATAACATTTTATAACCTATCAGAGTGGTTGTGTGGTTGTATAAAATCCAACCACTCTTCGATTGGGTTGCATATCTATCCCAGTGGTTTGTGATTCACCACCGATTCACCAGGGTTGGTAGATAATTCCATAGGGTTGGTAGAAATATATAGAAATATTATATAATATTATATATATAGTCACACGAAACCATAGGATTTACTTTATATCTAAGATACCAATATGGTTTATATCATGCCAATATTGGTATGTATATATATATATATACACACCATATGCTTTATATATATATATACCACCCATCACTAACCCCCTTTCCTCATTGCCATAGGGTTGGTAAAGCCACGAGACAGGCACGGCGTTCGACCTCTTGGAAGAGCTTGACACGCGGCAAACACTGGAGGCAGGGTTCTGCGGGTTCCGATGCTGTTTGGCAAGGTCAGCCTGTGGTAAAATCCATATGGGGGTTTCCATAAATGGGGGATGATTTTTGGGGTACAGACCCCTATTTCAGGAAACCTGCATATATTGGACATGTGGCCGACCATTTTGACTGATTGGTTCAAAGTGCTTCTCAGCAAAGTGTTTCTCGGCTAACATCCCATTAACCCTCATTAATTCGCGAGGTTTATTTTTGCCTATCGAACACGTTTCCCAGCAATGGTTGGTAATTTGGTCATGCTTATCCTGCCCACAGATTTATCTCAGTAATGACTAGTAAGAAGCTAAAGTAACATCAAATATTCCTGCCCACAGATTTATCTCAGTAATGACTAATACAGTAAGAAGTTAAAGCAACATCAAATATCATGCGCGCAATGATGATATTTACGAGCCGACTTATATAAGTGTCTCATTTCAGGCATTTCATTCGCATATGGTTGTGGGATGTTGTGGCTGTCGTGATTACCTTATTCAATTAAAAAACAAACCAAAAAATCAAACCAAAAACAAACAAACAAAAAACAAAACAAAAACAATAAAAGACAATAAACAAGACAAAAAACAAACAAAACACAATAAACACATACAAAAGCCGAAGAAACTTCAAAACAATGGTACAACCTTCAAGACGAGGGAAGACTAGAACGACCATGTTGTTCCCATATCTCCTTATTTGTTCCCATATCCTGCCATATTCCCCCATGTTGTGTTTGTTTTTTGTTTTTGTTGGTTTGTTTTTTTGGGGGTGTTTTTTTTTTTTCTATTTTTTGTTTGTTTTTTTTCATAATATTAATTGGTTTCCATTTTCCAATGAATGAAGGTCTCTCGACGTCATAACCCTATTGGTTTGGTGTTGCATCATATCCCAGAATCGGTTTGAATGATGTTTTTTCCTGGAAAACGACATCATGTACTAGTGATTTTGAAATATTGCTCTGTTTTTCACTGTTTTTTGTCCATGTCTTCCAATGATCAACCCATTGATCATCATATAGTTGGTGATTGAGTCGGTTTGATGGTTAAAGCCATTTTTTTAAATATGTGCCATGGTCAAAACTTGCATGACTTTCATGAGTTGCCCATATTGGGGGATTGATATATTAATTATATATCCAAGATAATCCCTATGTTATCAATGGGTATGATACCTCCTATATATATATAGTTACCTATGGGAAAGGTTACCAGGCTACCAGGAAGACTAGGGTTATATAGCCCTATATAGCCATTGTGTTCGGATCCCTGTTGTGGGATAGATGACCATCCCCCATAAAAATAAAAATATATAAAAAACCAGACCATGAAGGCCCTTGCCTCTGCCAAGCCTGCCACATGAAGGGCGCGGTAGGCGGGCGCGGTCGCGAGGTCCAAAACGGAACAGGAAACCAAAGATATCCTGAAAAAATGTGAAAGATATGATGAAAGATGGTAAAAGATGGTAAAGGATGGTGAACTGTTTGAAACTGATTGGAAATTGCTTGAAGTCCATGAAAGCGCGGAGTGAAACAAAAACTGTTTAGAACATGTGTGTCAGGTCCCCAACGCGGGACCACGCTGGTGGAAAACTGGGCGAGTACGGTGAGGGAACCACGACATGATCTTGGCAAACAATTGGGAATAATATGGGAGTAATGCAATGGTAAACCATGCCAACATTTACCATTTTTATGGGTGGGATTCCAACCATTAAAATATGTTTTTTGTTTATTGCTTTACTAATTTTTACTAACACTATGTCAGAAAATCTTTGGTAAATACCTGAAATGTTCAGCATAGAAACTTTTATAATATAAAAATCCCAGCTTTCTAGTTGTGGGCCAAGTTCTGTGGCTGTGGCCAGCTGTTTTTCATTGCCCCCGGGGTTTTCCAACATCATTTCCAAAGTGTTAAGGGGACCGTTGGGGATTCATTCTAACCACCCCAACTTGAAAAATGTCGGAAAATCCCATGAAATCTGGGTGATCTCTGGGTGAAATTGAACTTTGGCCGAACTTCGGCTGAATTTTTCAAGGAAGCTGTTGATATTATTCATACCCTTATGCTCCATGTATGGTATATTTACCTACATGACTGGGTGATTTTTTAGGGCAAATGCTGGTAAATATTCCATACATGGAGCATCTGGGATATATGCGGGTTTGAATAATTGTTTTTACCCACGGTCATCATCAACTTTAAAAGGGGTTTCCATTACAAACCATCCAGCTATTGGGGTCCATAAAAATGGAAACCCCCGGTCCCAGGTTTTTTCGCCGAGAAAGTGCCAGCTCCCAGGTGACGCTGAAAAGAAGGGGGCGGCGGAGAAGTTGCTGCACTTTCGGGATCTCATCAATGAAACCGCACGGGAGCCGAGCAGCTCGAAAAGAGATGTTAACGTGGAGCCGAGAAGCTCGCAGAGAAGATCGTTTTTGGTGATCAAGATTGAGATACTTGAGATACTTCAGAATCCACCATTTAAGTATCCATTTATAGTGATAGATGAATGATATAGATGATTTTCCCATTCAAACCTACATTTGTAGAGGATGTGAAAAATTGCCACGGTTGATTACCAGAGGGAAACATTGTTTGAGTGAAGCATATAGAAACTCGTAAATGTTTGATAGATTTACCCATAGGATCCATGTATGGTATATATGGTAACATTTACCATCAATATACCCCCAATGTTAGCATATATACCATACATGGATCCTATGGGTTAAGTAATATCCAAGCCACTGGAAAATGACGTGTGCATCTCGTAGGCGGTTACGCTCAGTGCTATGTCTTAGGGGGATCCTTATAAGGATCTGATGTGATTTGATGTCAGACACCACTCCGCTGGAATTCCCCATATTTTTGTGGCGTTGATCCGTTGATCCAGTTGCTACCACTATACATCGGTGGAAGTAGAAATCTCCACTGCTGGCCAAGGTTGGGGACGCCATTTCTATTTTTCTTGCGGTGGAGGCTGGGTGTTTCGCTTGAACTGCGAGACAACGCAGTTCCAGTAGCCGAAGATTGCAATCTATCGAGTAACCTGAGCCATCCTGAGCCAATCAAACATGGCGCAAGTAAATTCATCCAGAGGATTTTCTCAATTCCATTGAACATCATTGAACCATGTGTTCTGTTGGTTTGAAAGTTTCACATTTCTATACAGATGGATTGCCATATGCAGCTGAGGGACCTCAGCGAATGGTCATCCAATGATATCGATTTGTTGATCCATGATTTTCCCAGCATGTTCCCACCATGTTCCCCATAAAAGATCATAACTGGTTTGTGGTTTGGAACATGACTTTTATTTTCCATTTCACATATGGGATGTCATCCTTCCAATTGACGAACTCATATGTTTCAAGATGGTTATTGCACCACCAACCAGATAAAATATCATACAAAACACGATCAAATCACCAATTTCCCACCCTGTGGATCTAACACCTGGGCAAAGCGGCAAAGCCACGAGGCCGTGCTCTACTTGACGGATTCAGACTGTGATGCTTGGCGTGCCTTGCTACAGAAAATTCACTCAAAACACGATCAGGTCAAGAATTGATGAATCCGGATGAATTATCGTGACCTCAAGGTTAGGGGATGTAAGGGTTTTTTTAATCCCCATGGGAAGCCTTATTTCAGCATATTTCAGCTATTTTCAGCTTCGTGAAATTTCAATCAGAAAGAAATTGACAGAAGAGACGTGTCGTTTGCATTTTTTTTTGCTGGACATACCCTCTGGTAATTTAACATAGCTATGGAAAATCACCATGTTTAATGGGAAAATCCACTATTTCTATGGCCATTTTCAATAGCTTTTTGTATGTTTACCAGAGGGTATCCCATGAGTATCTCATGTTGTAACTCCATGGATTCCCACGGACCAGCGAAGAGCGGCCGGCCACTTCGCTCAGGTGCCATGTATGACGACCTGCCCAACCGACAGATCAAGGTGGGACCCTGCTCACCTCGCCATGATTTTCCCAATAAAACCTCCATTTATAGGGATTTCCTATGGTTTTCCTGTGGGTTTTTCCCATTAAAAGCTCCATTGATATACAGGAAAAACTGGGATTTCCGCCATTGCTATGCTTGACTGGAGGGTAGTTTTTGGGATGCCCCATCCCAATATGCCAGACGGGGATGAGTCGAAACAGACGTCAAGACCTATGAAATCTGGTACCATCCAACTAACATAGAGACCTTTTCTTGCCTCTCACAATGGGTGATTATATGTGATTTTATGATATGTTTATGTATTATTATAACGGTGTCGATTAGTTGGGGGCATGGACAAATATATTCGAATATGTCATATACATTGGAGTGATGAGCATCCATTAGATCATGATTAGCAACTTCTTTGGATGCAGATGTTGAAAAAATATCTTGACATAGGGTTAGGCAATACGGCCACGGGTCAGTTGTCAGTTAGCCCAGGGGGGCCGGCCAGTGCAGTTCCAGTTGTAAGTGGATAGACTTCACCATGCTTATAGGGGCCCCATTCCAAGAAACATTGGGTTTTATTGTAAAGCCCCATGTTTCTCGGAATATGGGGCTTCATTGTTAAAATACCATGGTAACTGTCCAGCTCAACTGGCCAGTCGTTACAAGGTCCTTGTAGCCGACCGTGGCATCTTTGAGACGACCGATGCAGAGAGGGTTTGTGTGAAGTGCCCTGGCCAGACCTCATGGAGAGATTTCTTTTTGGGATCCCCAAAAAGGATCAAAAAAGGTCGAATGGTGATTTACTTTCTATTGTCTAAGGTGACCTGCAATCCTGTACTTGTATCATTTGGATTCATTTGGATTCATTTGGGACTTGCGTAGGTCATGACTCATTTTTCTTCGATGGGACTTCTAGAATCTTCTAGATGTCCATTGGTACCACGACTCAGGAGGAAAATCGACTTACGTGATGTTACATGTTATACTTGATTTATTAGCGGACCGGTTTGGCATGGGTAAACTTTTAGTCAGATCGAATCACGATTCTTGGCCGGTGATTGGAGGATATTATATAGCTTGACCCATAACTGGGTGTGGAAGATCTTACTTGAATTGTTCATAGAAGCCAAAGATCAAGATCAAAGTTGTGTTTTGGTGGATGGACCAAGTATGACCGCGAAAGAAGTTCTTTTTTCGAAGCCCTATAGGCCCGCGGGCTTGCAAGCTGAAATCGACAAGGCAGTAGCCAAGGCGATCGGGGAATCGGAATGGGGATCCCATCATGGAAAGGGCCAAGATGGAGGGTCACTGAAAATGCGATGCGAAACATGCACTGAAAATGTGGGGAATTTTGGGGATAAAGGAACAACAATTGGAGGCCGCAAAAGCTGGGATGACAAGAATCTAGAAAGTGGGAGGTTTTTGAGCACCCAGAGTCGGGATTCAAGCCTTGTAAGTGACCAAAACTACTGTTGATGGAAGAAATCCTGCACCACTTTCAAAGGTCTACACTTGAAACCTCGCGCTCCTAATTTAATATTGTTTGAAGCCACAGTGATCAAAATGGATTTGCGCGAGTGACGGAAATCCTGCACCACCTGTCAACATTTCATTCAACATTGAGCTTGGGGGTACGGGGGTACAAGTTATGCATTAGCAAATCTAAGGTTATAGAGGTGGTGCAGGATTTCTTCCACCCACCGTAGGATCGAGTTCAAAGGGGCACAAGGCATAATGATATAATGGATGAGATGGTTTCATATTGAATGTTGACATGTATAAGTCCGCTATAGTCCGCTTGTTCTCTCGAGCCAGTTCTGGGGGAAGAATTTGTTTTTTTTAAAGAAAAGCAAACGATTTGGCCAAAGCACACACCTGCTCCAAAGACAATTTGATGAATTGTGATTTGTTTTTAAAAAAGTAAGACTTAGGACAAACAAGAACACACTATGAGTCAAGCACAAGCAACTGATTCATCCCGAATCCCACATGGTGAAAAAAAAACGCAGGTGCCGAAAGGGCGCGCCTTTGTTCGCTTCAAGCTCAGATGTTGGCAGTCACAGTTGTTTTTCCATGTTTTTCCCAGCAAAAATGGAGCTTGTGACACAAGAAATGGCCGAAAATGGCCACTCAGGGTGATATATCTATTGATCTGTTGCTCTTTTTTGGAACAACAAGACACCAGAGATGGCCTCCCCAGTTTGGGTTGCCAGAGATGTCAACCGCTGAGCAACAGTCCACAGGGCTGCGGTACATTTGGGTACCATTTTAGCAGCGAATTATCACTTTTTGCCGGTAACAATCCTACTTCATCAACCCTGGTTTATTACAAGATATTGCAATATCACCCCCACTATCAGATAGGAATGTGTTCTACCACATTCGACATTTAATAGATCATTTTTTATTATAAGATTTCACTTGAATCTCTTAAATCTATCTTTTTGGGGTGCTATGATTTTGGGTTCCATATAAGCTGACCTTAATATACTGAGGCCCCAGCGGCACAGAAGATGTGGTGCGGGTCAGGAGCCTTGGAAGTAAACTCTTCGAAAGGCAACAAAAATGGCCCCAAAAAGATTGGTTTACGATGGTTGCTTCCTAAAATCCTATTAAAGTATTTAAAGTTTTTGTGGAATTTTTGAAAGTTTCGATCTTTTTGGCTCTGAATCTGTAGATTCAAGTAAAAACCTTGTAAAACCCATAGTTGAGTCGTAAACCCAAGTTTTTTCTATCTGATCTCTTTGGGGCCCGGCCCCAGATTTCTTGGGAAGTCAACTGGCAAGTCGACCCGACCAAGTCGCTGGACCCAATCCGTGTGGCATAGGTGCAATTTTTTCGAAATCAAAAAAAAATATGTAAACCTATAAATGGATATACAGATATATACAGATATACATGGTGGTTTCTTAAAATGGGGGGATCACCAAACAATAGGGATCAATAGTAGGTTTCAACTGGGTCATCATGGTCATCCATGATTTGTTTTTTTTTTTGAGTCCCACATGGCGACGTAACGGACGACATCCAGCAACATTCTAAGACACCTTCCGAAAATATACGTACATTATACGTACAGCATCGTACAGCCCATATTATGTAATATTATAGTACAGCATATTCATATAATATATATATAATATATATTATATATATTCATCATGCGTGATTCATGTATGAGATGTTTTTTTGATCTAGAATCGATGATATATGCGCACATGTTTTTCTCGTACGTAATGACATATGTACGTATGGTATGTTAAATGTATATATGATATATACATATACATATGATAGTATACAATGATATATATATATGCTTTATTTTTTCATCCATGATTTCTAAATTAGCATGAATCCCAATCATAGATTCCCAGAAGTAGATGATAGATGTAGTAAAAGAAAAAATTGGCTAACTAGGGTCAATTGATGATATGTATACTTGTAATATAATCATATATATATATATACATATTATTTATAGCCTATAGTTCATGGGGATAAACCAGCTGAAAAACCCTCTGGTCATGTAACAGTTTGCTATGGATTTTTTTTCCACCTTGAAGGTCTACGCGGAGGCGGAGAGCACAGAGGCAATGCTGACCCTGGCGCAGGCGGGACCAGCATTGAACCTCGACTTCACCATGAGAAAATTGTGGAACGCAAACTTCTGGATCGAGTTTTATTGGGTTTAAACATCTTTAAACCACCGAAAATGATCAAACAGTTTGGTATCATTGAAAAATGTAGTTGATTGGATACCCAGATGCTCCATGCATGGTATATTTACCATTATTTACCTACATGACTGGGTGATTTTGTTCGGGCAAATGTTGGGATTCATATTCCAGCACCATTTTGTCCGCAGGAGATGGAATATCTCTGGGGATTGCGGTCCAAAACCCACCACAGGAATAGCTACGGATATGGGCAGAAATCATCCAGCAATTGGTTTAAGAAACATGAAGAAACCAGGAATTTGATCTTTAAAACATGGCTTATGATTGAAATCACTGACCTCAAAGGTGAATTCTTGGCACCTCTGGTGATTCAGCATCAGTTTCTTCGTTAGCAGCCCATCATCTAACGAATCCATCCGGGGAAATCACATATATCTAGCTAAATTTGATCACGACCTCACGTCGCGACCGAACCTGGAATCATGGTTAGGATTCAGGGAATCATCCCCAAATGGCCGCAAGATTCAGGTTAGTGAAATATTAAATTTTACCCAGATAAAATGTAAATATCGCCACAGACACATAATCTAGAAATGCTTGATTTTGCATCAAGCTTGTTTAACAGACAACTTGGCATTCAATTTGTCTTCCGTCGTATCCAGTTCTCTGATATTGTTTTTTCTTGCGTTCTGGTATTTTAACGTAGCTCTGAAACATCATAATTGTGAACAGGTAAATCATCTTAAATCATGATAAATCATGTATAATGAACCATTTTTCCCTATGCTAATGTATATTCCTATGATACCCATTTATAGCACCGTTTTTCTTGGCTCAATCCACAGGGTATTTCCAGGACGTGGTGGATGCAGTGCATTCCATGGCAGGTGGTGCCGGTGCCTCAGTGGGAGATCAGCCATGATGTCAGCCATAACTGGTTGGTGCTGACTGGAACCATGGAATTTCCATGGAATTTTATGACTTCCCCAATAGTTGGGATGATGATCCAATCTGACTAATTCATATATTTTTCAAGATGGTTAGAACATGTTAAAACCACCAATTAGATAAGATGTCAGCCATAAAGATTGGGAGACCGATGGTAATTGTCCGCCATATTGAATGGCCAGAGGGTCTGTCAAAAAAGAAACAGCATAATCATGTGTGCTCTATGATCGATTGCCCACCAGATTTTTGGGAAAACCTCAACACGACAATGGAAAGTTTGCCCATAAACGCCTCCACAAATGAGGCAACGTAAGTGTAACCAGCTATACCCAATTGTTTTTTTGGCAGAGTCCCCATGCAAAGCTGATTTAAGACTGGTGGTTGTTGCAAGTTGTTTGTCAATGAGCTTTGGTGGATGGTGACAGTTTCAAGGGGTATATAACAATTTGATATAGTCTACACATGAAAGAATCATTCAGAGGAATATGATGGAATATGGCAATGAGTCAAAACATGTCAAAACCCCTTGCCTTATAATCCTTATAGGCCTAAAATAGCTGGTTAATGGATGTTAATGGATGTTGAATTCCCATCCTCGTTCGAAAGAAATAAACATTGTCTGACCTCCAATCATCTCTGTCTAAAGTTGCGATGACCAACTGGCCCTATGAAGTAGATATTTCTAGTAGATATATCTACTAGAAATCATTATAATCCCTTCCTCCTATTACTAAACCCCGCCCAAATACTAAAAACTAGTGTCCATCTCCAATTTTGGAAAATTTTAGATTGGCCAATTTGACTTTTAATTGATCCCCTTTAGAAAAAAATTAAAAATCAACCTACCATTTGTGGGTTTGCCCCCCTAATACTAAAAACTAGTTCACTCCGGGGTGTTTATTATTAGGGTCCGTCCGTTTTTTTTTTAATGTTAAGGTGTTTAATTTAATATTGGGGGGAAGCTTCGAAATCCAATTTGTGGCAGTATTTTAATCGCGTTATATAAAGAATTTTCATTGATTTTGAGATCGGAAAAAATAGTTTTTACTATTAAGGGTTTTAATTTGATATTAGGGGGAAGCTTCAAAATCTCATTTTTGGCAACATATTAATCGCGTTATATAAAAAAAAAATCATTGATTTTGAGATCGGAAATAGTTTTTATTATTAAGAGTTTTAATTTAGTATTAGGGGGAAGCTTCGAAATCCAATTTGTGGCAATATATTAATCACGTTATATCAAGAAATTTCATTAATCTTGAGATCGGAAATACTTTTTATTATTAAGGGTTTTAATTTAATATTAGGGGGAAGCTTCGAAATCCAATTTTTGGCAATATATTAATTGCGTTATATAAAGCAGAACCCTGAGCGATCATAATCAATTTTCCATCCTCAGCCTTCCCAATGCCTTAACCCCCTTCTGTCAACCCCTCATGTTTCCACAGTTGCTTCAGCCGAACGGGCTTAGCCAGGTTTATCCAACCCCCCTACACCCTTCCCCGACCCCATGCATTGGCCCGATGCTTCCAAGGCTGGAAGAACTGACCGGCGCCACTAAGAAGGCGTTAGTGGAACAGGCTTGGGGGCTCAAGACCAGCGCCGACCTGGCAGTTAAAACCGTGGTTCTTGGCAAGGAGCCCCACAGTCGTGAAGAGCGCCGGGAGGAAGCAGAACAAGCCGAGCGACGCCCAGTCGAAAGATGGCCGTCCGCAAAGGTCCAGGTCAGGGCTGGGGGCGCGGGGGACAGCCCAACACCTCTTGCGCTCCTCACAGGCAGGGGCACATGCTCTGAACACATGCCAGCTTTTATGGCCCCCCAGGAGGCCATAGTTGAGAGTCCGTCTGATTGACTGTGCGTTAGTTATGATTCACATGTTTGCTCATGGTAGTGTGATTGACTGCGCGGTCAGATTGTCACAGCCTAATTATTGTTCCCTGGAAATTAACATATTCAAAATGCCTGAGCCGAACTGAGCTTCAAAAGTGCAACGCCTGCTGCTGCTGGAGCCACATCTTTGTGACCTTGAGCAATGCTTCCTGGACTTGATGGGTCCTAGGTTGAATCATTAAAAGTTATTTCCCCACTTCATGCCATGGAGTGAACAATGCGTGACTGATGGTTGTTCATGATTCCTTCTTAGGACATCTACCTGGCTATGACCATGGACCGGTCTTGGGTAAGTGCAAGTAACCTTGCATGACTGAAATCATTGCGTGCAAGAGGGTTTGGTTGCAGAGACGTATGATCTCAGGGTCCAAGGAGTTGTTTAAATGGATCCCTTGCTTCCTTCCGTTCAATGAGGACATGCAGTTATGTCTCTGTCTGAAGGATGTTTGCTTTGTATGTCTTGAAACCGCCACTTTTCATTTGAGAGGATTTCCCATAGAGTTTGCATCAGATTTGCTTGACTTGACCCACTTGACTTGACTCTTGACTTGGCTCGTGACTTGACTCTTGACTTGACGGCAGCAGGGATTGCACTTTTGAAGTTCAGTTCGGTTCAGGTTTGATGTTGATTGGCCTGTGTGCATGGTGTTGTTTTGTGAACATTTTTTTTGCATGGTGGATTGTTTTTGCTCAGAAGGTTTTCCAGAGCGGCCTTCTGAGCATGCTGCCATCTATGTTGAAAAAGGTGCTCAGGGTGGCAGCAGTTTAGACATCCACTTACTAAAAGTAAGACATCCAGTTACAGCAACCCTTCCCTTTTTATTATTAAGGGTTTTAATTTAATATTAGGGGGAAGCTTCGAAATCCAATTTGTGGCAGTATTTTAATCGCGTTATATAAAGAATTCTCATTGATTTTGAGATCGGAAAAAATAGTTTATTATTAAGGGTTTTAATTTAATATTGTGGGGAAGCTTCGAAATCCAATTTGTGGCAGTATTTTAATCGCGTTATATAAAGAATTTTCATTGATTTTGAGATCGGAAAAAATAGTTTTAAGTTTTTACTATTAAGGGTTTTAATTTGATATTAGGGGGAAGCTTCGAAATCCAATTTGTGGCCGTATTTTAATCGCGTTATATAAAGAATTTTCATTGATTTTGAGATCGGAAAAAATAGTTTTTATTATTAAGGGTCTTAATTTAATATTAGGGGGAAGCTTCGAAATTTCATTTTTGGCAAAATATTAATCGCGTTTTTTAAAGAAAATTAATTGATTTTGAGATCGGAAATAGTTTTTATTATTAAGGGTTTTAATTTGATATTAGGGGGATGCTTCGAAATCCAATTTTTAGCATTATTTTAATCACGTTATATAAAGAAATTTCATTGATTTTGAGAGGGGAAAACATAGTTTTCATTATTAAGGGTTTAATTTTATTAATAGGGTTCCCTAATAATAAATACCCCCCTCATACTAAAAACTACCTGCCGTGTTTAGTAATAGGGTGGGGGGGCGTTTAGTATTACGAGGAAGGGATTACTTAAATCTGCCCTAGATATGTCTACTATAAATTTATAAATGCCAGCCGCCCGTTTTTTTGCGATCGCAGAGGTCGGAGAAAAGCCCACCGTGACGTGATGTGGCCTTTCCTATCTCGATGGACGAAAAGCTGCTGGTTCTCGATGATTGAGATGGTGATCCATAGGATGTTCCCTGAATAAAACCAGGGGTTGTTGGATATACCTGAAAGTGGAGCCCAGCAAGGCAAGGCAATTTGAACGAAATACCATGAAACACCATGACTTGTTCATCAAATTTGAGACAAATCCACTTGGGTCTTGGTTTTTTTTGTTTCCCAGGGCCCAATGACTGGGGATACCATCCAAGACCCGATAAGCAGCTACGCACCATGTGCTGAGAATGAATTTTGCAGGCTGGCAAGATTCTTCGTATAGAGATGTATAATATGTTATAATTGGTTTGTGGTTTGGAACATTTGTTATTGTTCCATTCAGTTGGGAATGTCATCATCCCAACTGGCGAAGTCATATTTTTCAGAGGGGTAGGTACACCACCAACCAGATATATTAACCATCATTAACTGTATATTAACCATCATTAACCATATAATAACCATATATTACCCATTATTTTTGGTATGGTTTATGATGATGACCCATACCCATTTGAGGATGGTCGATAGAAAATTTGTGACCGAAAAACATCGGTAGATTCGATGGACTCAAGGCAGATGCCACCAGTCGCACCTCTCTGACACTGTGCGCTTGCTGCAGAAATAAAGCTATATAAAGCTATACTCATACCTGGGACATCCTTAGACTAGATTCACTTGTACAGATGGTCCAACAAGATCAACTGTGGTTCCAAGATACTTTGGGCATCTTGGATGATGAGATTTTATTTTCAATGCAATGGTTGATTTTCACCATCAGAGATACTGAAATATCACTTCATCCTTGACCCCGCAGACGGTGGTTCAAACGACACGTCTCCGGGCGGCTCAGTCAATGTCGGGGCGGCTCAGGGGGTCCCATCGTCTGACAGCTGGGAACTTGGCTTGTGGGAGTTCACATGGCTCAACCGACAATAAAGCCTGGAGGCTGTCTGAGGGAAACATGTGCAACTCGCTGTGAGCTTTCATTGTGACCTTCCGTTTTAGTATCCAGCAGCTGACAATCTCCCAATCTTCCTGAATCGCCTATCGTTGCGTTTTTGTTTACCTCCATTTTTGCACATGATTCCAACTCTCCACTGCTTAACCCCCTTTTTTTGCTGGTCAAAGCAGACTTGTTGCTGGTTGCACTCCATGTTTGGTGCTCAAAACCCAATTCTTGCTGATTAGATTGACTAGATCTCTAAGAGTTGTTGTTTCAATATGTTGCAATCCCAAGTCATGTTTGCTGATTGAACTTCCATGTTTGCTCTATAGCAGCTAGAGTAATTCAAAAAGATCTTGAAAACAAATATAGTTAAACAAAAGTTGTTGTCTCCACTATAGCGCCAAGAAGATGTAAAAGTGTTTCATCCGGAAAACATCTTGGTAAATTAAACCTGTTGTATCTTCTTGGGGGATACGATATTGACGTAGCCAATAGGCACCACTCTGGCAGGCGCAATGGACCCTGAAGAGGGGCCGGACGAGGCGGATGAAGCGTTTTGTGTGTGCTGGGTCAAACAATGCCAATCTACCAGCCATGACTGGGAATGGTAACCATACCACCTAGAAACATGCTGATGAATGATGATTAATGGCTGGTTTATATATGTTTATATGTTCATGGCATCGTGTTACCCACAAAAACCATCCAAATCCATTGGTTCACCATGCCCCAGAAAGTCATCACCATTGGGAGATAGGTGGTATAAACATGTATAAACTTACCATTCCCAGATATTCCCAGGAAAATAACGGTAATTTTTATGGGGAATGAATGGTATGTTGACACCACTTCTTGAGGAAAAAAACCATCTCGGAATGATCCTGTGATCCTGAGCGGATCTCAGTGGATTGATTGAGAACGCTGGGAGTTGACCACCCATCTGTGCACAAAGGAGCTATTTATGTGTATGATATATATATATATATATATGTATATATTTATCAAAATATGTATATACATATATATTAATATATATATATACACATATATTAATATATTAATATATATATATACATTGTTAATCATTATTATGTATTAGTATAGAACATCATTATACAGAAAAGCATGTTCAGCACTTTTTGTGGGCTCCCGGTTCCTGTCTCCGAACTTCCCACGTCAGGTCCACGAAGCTGCATCTCTCAGCAGGGTCAGGGACCTATATAGGGACCTTGCCGCAGCAGGAATGATTGCTATATTTGGTTATATAGTAAACATCGTATTATGTTATTATATTCATCCTGTGGAATATGGATGAATATTATTGTTTATTGGAATTTCAACATGTTCCCAATGTTCCTACTAGCAAGTGATGATGTTTTGAAATGGACTATCCACTCCATATAGGAATTATGGGATTAATGATTAGTTGTGGTTTATGTTTTTCTTAATGGGATTGTATGGGATTAGCAAGCCCAAGTAAAAAAAGATGCCGAAAAGTTCAAGCTTGGAAAATTTGGAGGAAAACATGATCTACAACCATAATCTCCATATTTTCTCATTATAATGCCTATAATATCCGTATAGTACATATCATCCTGGAACGACATGTCATTTTTTGGGGGGCTACGTATCCAGCGGCTGATATGTTCTGGTCCAAAGCGGTGGAATGTTGAAAGGATCTGGCACATCCAGCCCAGATATATGTATCTGGATGTATATAGATATATGTAGCCCAGCTAGCATTAGTATATGATGTTAGTTCATATTGAGTGGAAAATGTTTTTTCCACTATTTTGAATGATTCAGTCCAGACCACTTCGGAACATGACCGCTCCAGCCCTGAATTGCTGTGGAAAACTTACAGTTGAAACTCCAATGGTTGAGAAATGGATTTCCATCAATGTTCCCCAAACAAATCCCAACGAACCAATCCAGTTTTCCTCATTCTTCATTGGCTATATATATATAATATATAGGATTATATATAGGCTATATAATAGTATAAAATTATATGGATCCTTGTTTCGGTTGTCTAACTCTCAACTTTCATGGTGAAAATACTCCAACATATCCTCTCAGGTCGCTCCTGAAGACCAGATTCCGTTGAGGGGTGACAATGGAGAGGTGCGCCCAGCCATGCTTTGGTGCCATAGCGTGTAAATGTTACACTGGTTGGTTGTTTAATTTACAGGTGTCAACATGGAACATGGACACCAGTTGTTTTTTATAATATTCAACATCAGTTGTGGTTGTTTTTTTACTGTATCAGGAACGATTTTTTCTCGTGGTGATGACTGCTTTCAATGCTTAAATCCCGTTTTGCTCATGGTCAAATCATGTTAAATCCCTATTCTTCGATGAGTAAATCCATACAAATCCAAACTATTCACCATTCTTCATGAAATCCGTATTTTCTGATGTAAAACATCGTGTTTCATGATTAGATCCTTTTTTTTCATGCTTAAATCCACATATATATATTTACACTTGTTTACATTGAACTCCTGGAAATTTCGATTCAAAACCAGGCCATGGGCTCAACTGAAACCACGCGACCGCTGGTGCAGAACCGCGAGGGAAAGGCAGATTTTTTTGGTGGATGTTCGGGGGAAATCAACTTTCCAAGTTTTCTGTGATTGATTCCCCACACAGAAAAAAAAGAATGGGGAAACAGTGAAAAACAACATGATAGAAACATGGGAAAGAAGTATGGATAAAAAACAACAGTTGAGACTTATTTTGGGAAAACGTATGTTTGTTGCGGGAATTGTTGGTTTTGTGTGATCCAACCTACTGCGGAAAATGTCTAGAACAAGCTGCTTCAGCCGAAGGTACCCGAGGAGTTTGACAAAGGACACGATGTAAAAGGCACATTGTTGAGATCTCCCCACTGTTCATTCTAGGTCAAGCTTGGATGGGTAGAAGCTAATTCTTTAGTCTTTTGGTATCAATGGCATTCTCCAACCTTCACAAGCTAAGAATGTATTCTTTTGCAGGGTATCTAAGATTGGCAATGCATTGGTGAATCTATTGCACCAGATGTTGCCAAGATGTTGCCAGTGCCTTCAACAAAACCCACCAACGTTGCTGGATCAAATCCAGATATGTTCGCCATGTTGGTACCGAAATCAGAATTGTTTGATGATTAAAAAAAAAGTTTGGGCTTGTCAAATCCCACCATTTTCTGTTGGCAACGTAGATATTAACTATATGTACATTATATCAATACGTATAACATATATCCTAAGGTTCTGTAATTAGATTACATGATGTTACAGGTTACCCTCTGGTAATTTAACATAGCTATTGAAAATCACCATTTTTAATGGGAAAATCCACTATTAATGGCAATTTTCAATAGCTACGTTAAATTACCAGAGGGTACATCATGTTACGTATTTAATATACGTTAAAACAAGATTCCGCACTGCGGAGGCTGCTCCGAGAAGATTGATTGCGCCCTTGACTTTGCTCCCTCAGGAGGTCTGGATATGGGCGACAACGGAGTTCCCATGAGTTTTCAGCAGGGCTTGGTAAATGTCCTACTTTGGGGATTTCTTTCACATCACTTGCAAATATTTTTCAGAAAACAAATCCCCAAGATTATATAATTTTAATTTATGGGTGATGTGAAAAATTAGGACATTTACCAACCGTTGAATCAGGTTGGAGAAAGGTAAAAAATGCTTCACTGGGAACCGGTGCTTTTTTTGAGATCTCGGATTCACCGTGGAGCTACTGATATCTCTGAAAAATCGAGTTGAGAAGACCATGCTTTCAGCAATCATAGCTATGAATATGGTTTAATATGGTTTAATCTGACTTAAACTGTGCACGCAGCTGCCAATTTTGAATACCGATCGCTTCCGCATGTCCACGGTTTCACCCATATGCCAATACCGGCATGAAACCATGGCTGAGAAAAAAAATGGTTTAATCTGGTTTAATATGGTTTATATGCTATATATAATATATGCTATTATAGCTGTAGGACCAGCAACTCAATTTTTTGTTCCCCACCTGCCAGGTGAGGGTTGTTAGATTTTATCTAAGTTGCCTGGTCCTCCTCCTCCTCCTCCTGCCGCCTCCTCCTCCTCCTCCGCCTCCTCCTCCTCCTCTCGTTGTCCTCCTCGTCCTCCTGCTCAACTGCGACTCGCGATCCACAGTGTTCGCTGTCGGACCTCAACCACGACCATCCACGCCCAGTGTTCCCTGCCGGACCTCAACCACGACCATCCACGCCCAGTGTTCCCTGCCGGACCTCAACCACGACCATCCACGCCCAGTGTTCCCTGCCGGACCTCAACCACGACCATCCCGCCCAGTGTTCCCTGCCGGACCTCAACCACGACCATCCACGCCCAGTGTTCCCTGCCGGACCTCAACCACGACCATAGAATGTCAGAAAGAATGTCAGAAAGAATGCCAGATAGAATGCCAGAAAGAATGCCAGATAAAATGCCAGATAGAATGCCAGATAGAATGCCAGATAGAATGCCAGAAAATGCCAGATAGAATGCCAGATAGAATGCCAGATAGAATGTCAGAATATATGTCAGAAAGAATGCCAGATAGAATGCCAGAAAGAATGCCAGATAGAATGCCAGATAGAATGCCAGATAGAATGTCAGAATATATGTCAGAAAGAATGCCAGATAGAATGCCAGAAAGAATGCCAGATAGAATGCCAGATAGAATGCCAGATAGAATGTCAGAATATATGTCAGAAAGAATGCCAGATAGAATGCCAGAAAGAATGCCAGATAGAATGCCAGATAGAATGACAAATAGAATGCCAGATAGAATGACAAATAGAATGCCAGATAGAATGCCAGATAGAATGCCAGATAGAATGTCAGAACATATGTCAGATAGAATGCCAGATAGAATGTCAGATAGAATGCTAGATAGAATGCCAGATAGAATGCCAGATAGAATGCCAGATAGAATGCCAGATAGAATGCCAGGTGGAATGTCAGAATATATGTCAGATAGATTGCCAGATAGAATGCCAGAATATATGTCAGATAGAATGTCAGAATATATTCAAGATTTGTCCAAATATACGTCCTGACATGTCCTGACATGTCATGGTGGGGATCACACGAAGTAAAGTAATTTTTTTGGTGTCCGAAAGACCACAGCGTGCACTCTGGTGCTCTGACCTGGCAGACAGCGAAATATGGCCCAAATTTGCATGTTTCGAGTCCAATTGTGATCGATCATGTCAACCCTGAATTAATAAACGGTGATTCATTCGAAGGGCTTCCCCAAAAATATTCTATATATATATATTATATAGTGATAATCTGGTTTACTAAAATGGCACGCCTCCAATTAAACAGCAGAGGGGGTTAGCGAAATTCGGGGTTGACATGATATTGTAAAGGGAAAAGTGTGACCAACGAGCCGCGCTGATGTGAGGCTTTGGACACGTACCTGAAGCGAATAGGCACCGTGGCACCGAAAAAATCTTCTGAACTGATGTTGTTGAGTGCTGTGCTGAATGCAGCCGAATGACAGTGTAACGTGAAATCATGTTGTTTAAAATGACTCGAGAGAGACGGCTTTGATTCTCAGATATTTGAAAAACAATGTTTTCAATGTTTGAAAAATATTGATTTTCAGATGTTTGATTATCCAGTCATTGAAAAAAAAATCGCTGTTTCTTTCAGATCCTCTCCTTCCAAGTCTCTTCCGGACGATGGTTCCTGGCCAGGATATCAGGTGTGTGAGAAGTTGATGCGTGTGGGGAATCCCAAGTCGATGGCTGCGGGAATTTTTTAGTGACACTTCCCCAGTTCCAACCATTTCTGTCTCCATTTGAGTTCCATTTGTTATTTGGGAAGTCTTCACTACCATAATCCATAGGATCCATCCATGTATGGTATATATGCTAGCATTGGGGGTATATTGATGGTAAATGTTACCATATATAGCATACATGGATCCTATGGGTAATAGGCAAACAACCAGACATATTTCGAATCTATTTCTGGTTGAAACTGGGGTTCCAGGAGCGATGGCCTCCCCACACAGGAATGACGATGTCACTAGTGGGGAATGAATCATGAACTGCTGCACGTCTCTCCGTGGCGACTGGGGAAGAAGACAAAAATATGGATGTGGGTCAAAATGGAAGACCTAGGGGACCACAGATGTTAGTCTAGTTTAGTATTCACCATCCAATTATTGGGGTACCTAATTTTGACCCATACCCATATCAATGGTGTGAGTCTTGGGCTTCAGGGTTTGACCATGTTTGATCGTTTTACCCAAGGAGCTTGCATGGTTTTGATCCTGGGATGAACTGATATTGACCATCTGTCCCCATCCCCGCAATCCTCTCCCCATTGTTGGTTTATGTTGGCTTCATACCCCCTCCTTTAAGAGTGAAATCACATGAAATCACCAATGCAAATCATGGTTGAAAAGCCAACGTACATGAAACCAGAAATGTTGGGCCATTTTAGGATAGTTACCCCTACTATACTATATATAACCACAACAATAACAATACCCATTTATATATCGTATAGATGAGATGGTACCGGTACGAGGATATGGGAAACGTCCCAGACTTGAATGATGGGGAAACTCCCGGCCACTTTAAAAGATATGCTAAAAAGACTTATTGTTCGTCATATACGATCAATACGATATTCATCGTCGTTTGTTTTTTTTAACGTATGCCATTGAGACAAAGATTCCAAAACTGTCACAAAAACCCCTTTAGAATCACTGAGGTGCTACCTTTCCTCACCATCTATGGGGGAACTGTGGCCTTAATTGCTTGCGTCATCCTGAGATATCGTGCGAGCCTCTGAAGATCTTCCGCAGATTGGCCGAAACCATGGGTCAAATTGTGAGGATTCAACCCATGAGAATTGGGCTATACCCTCTGGTTATGTCAAAATCGCTATTGAAAATGGCCATTTATAGTGAGTTTTCCCATGAAAAGTGGTGATTTTCCACAGCTATGTTAGTTTACCAGAGGGTAGTTTGTTTTAAGTATCTGTGCGATTTGATCTGCGATTTGATCTAAATAATGGCTAAATACCATGGTAAATCTGGTGACTTAAGCTATGATAAGCTATGAAAAGTAGTGCGAGAAACGTGGGTAAATCATTGAAGCCATATGCGCATATACCATCGCATTTTTTGCCATTGCTGTACTTGAGACCATACACAATCAGAGATTTGTTATTGGGTTTGCCACATTGGTGGTCCACGCGTTTGTTCTGATCTGCACACTAGGTTACTCTTTTTTCGATCTGATCCAATCCTCTGATTTTATCTAAGACATCTAAGTTTATGTTGTTTTAACCATATTATTAGAGGATTCATTATAGACATGTTAGCCACATTCATAGCTATAGTTTAATCTTAGATAGGCTATGCACAGATACATGGATGGACCGATGGATGGATAAATGGATGGATTCTTGAGTTGATGGAAACACCAAGACTTTGCAGCGTTGCTGCCATGGAAAAATCTTAAGTGTGTCCAATGGAGGAACCTCCGACAACAAATATATGGCACCTGATCACGACGAGTTCCGCCAAGAAAGGATGGATTTTTCCAAGGCGATGACGTGGGTGTCATGTCGATGTCTCCGCGGGGGTGGATTTTAGTCACTCCAAATATCAGTTGTTTAGTATTACCCTCTGGTAATTTAACATAGCTATTGAAAATGACCATGTGTAGTGGTTTTTCCCATTAAATATGGTGATTTTCCATAGTTATGTTAGATTACCAGAGGGTAGTTCCATCTGAAATGTCCCTTGGGAGTGTTTAAAAGCCAAGCCTATATCCGATATATCCAATCTCCCGTTTCCTGAAACGCTCAGGTTGGGGTGTTCTGATGTCTATGATGCTCTACTCCTGCTTCATGTGGGGGGCTCATCCCAATCATCCCAAGCACTGTGGTGAGGGTGATTCAGATGACCACTGACCACAAGATGGGTTCATAAACTCTATGAAAGATGGGGAATCAACGTTTGTTTCAATGTTATTTTAAGATATGTTAAGAACAAACGGCAAGTAATGTCAGAATGTCACTAACACTGTGGTGGTGATTCTAATCACGTTACATCATTTACAATAAGATTTAAACATCAGTTGACATTAGTTTACATGTCACACATCATTTGCCAATCTTAAAAGTACTTCAATCGTAACAGGATGGTATTTGTTTGTTGCGACATGACTTCTAGTTAGTTATGTTCCATGATATCCCGTGCATTACCCCATGACATTTCCATTAATGTTTCTAAAGCAATAGGATCCACCATCCCCTAATAGGATCCAAGTTTCTGGGTGGTAATTCGTCAGATAGTCAGATATGGCATATCATAGCCCCCCAACAGGATCGACGAGTGAAGAATCATCAACAAAATCCCATTGCCAATCAAACAAAACTCATGGTAACTTCTTCAGCGTTTCTGTCTTTTTTTGGGGGATTACCCTCTGGTAAACTAACATCATTATGGAAAAATCACCATTTTTCATGGGTAAATCAACTATAAATGGGCCATGTTCAATAGCCATTTTGACATAACCAGAGGGTACCGACTGAGAAATCGCAGCACGGCGAGGTTTCTGAGCGCGGTGGAGCTGGTCGTCGGTGGAGCTTGGGGTGACTTGGAGGAAGCCATGGCTGCCATTGGGCTACCCCGTTTTTTCATCGCTGGATGGCTTCGTTCGAATGGAAAATCCTATGGAAAAAATGGGTTCATTGGAAACCTCCACTAATATACCTTAAGAATTGCGATCTTCCAATGGTTGAAGTACCAGAGGATTCCTTCATCAATCCAAGTCCTGGAGGAGTCGTGACAGCAGCACTGAGGCATGATTATGATTTGGATGAACATTCGAAATGTGCCCTGGCTGATGTGGCTGTGGCAGCGACTGCACTGTGATGAGACCTCTGTCACGGGTGAAAATTAGGCAAGAAAAATCTGGTAGCACCCGAAAGTGACGACCTCACGTCGTTCGACCGAAGCCTGGAATCATGGTTAATGTCTGGGGAATCATTCCATATCCCAAAGAGGCCTTATTTATCTTATTTCAGGTTAGGGAATTAAATTATTATTATTATATACGGAATATCGGGAGGGTACTGCATATATAATTATTATATTATATAATAATAATTCTATATGCAGTACCCTCCCGATATTCCGTATATTATATATATTATATTATATTATGATTATTATTATATATATATATACGGAATTATTATAATTTGCCCAGAATATTGCAAATGAACGGGAGGGTCCTGCATATCTCTATCGATGCAGCCATCACCGGCATCGTTTTTTATGTTTGTCTTGTGGATAGCTTGGAGTCAGCTAGCTACGTGGTAAAGCCAGATTTTGAAACCGTAACTAAACCATACGTTTTGCTAAACGTATTTATGGTTTGGTTGTGGTTTATTTGTTTTAGTTTTGCAATTTGCTAAGCAAGAGGATGTCCAATTTTTTTGGGGCAGTTTAGCAAATTGTCGTTTGATAAATCTTCGAAAACAATGGACATCCTCGGTTTCCTGCCACCATGGTCACCTGGCAGCTGCAAAGTCCCGGCAGCCCAAGCCACGCCATTGCCCGCCGCCCACTGTGAGGATTGGTATTCGATGTATTTGAGAGAAATCGTAGGAGATACCAGTCAGGATCCCAGGTGCTGAGAGAAAATGGCATTGAAATTGGTTGGGAGGCTTCCTTGTGAGTTTTTTTGACAGGGGTAAACAGCTGCTATCAAAAGAAATGGGGCCAATCAGTCCAGAAGCTTCCAATCTTTTTTGCGCAGAAAACTTGATCGACCTGTTTGATAGGCCCTGCATTCAGAATTGAAATTTCGCAAAAGTATGTGCCTGGTGCCTTTTCATGGAACATCAGCTTCAACAAGTTGTGCATAGAAACCTAGCTGGATTTTGACAATGGTTTACAATAAAATCAATCAACAACAACTAACAATGAAATAGACAATAGCAAAAAAAACGCAACTACAAACAGCAAGCATATCTATTCCAACAGAAACTGGTGTGTTTACCAACAACGATGACCAAGGCCCAAAAGTTCGTCGAAACGTCGGAGAGCCTGAGGGAATTTCCTTATGTGAACGCTTTTTGAGCCCGAAAATTAGTAAGGGTTCATAAGGGTTCATCAGATTTCATAAGGAATGTTGACACATGTCATGCACATATCATGGGTTGGTTTAAAGGTGTTTGTTTACTTTCCAGAGGGAAAATATTTACACACCATCTTACACCATTCGGGGAATCCATAGGGGGAAAAATATGAGGGTGATCTTAAGCAAATCCAAGATATGAATAGCAGATGATGTTTGAATAAAATATGCTGTTCAGTAAATGTTAGTTCCTCCAAAATCGATAGCACGAAGACGATTACAGGAAACATGCCATGGATCCATGGAAATAGCATTGTCGAGCCTCCAAAGGCTTTTCTTCTGCCATCTCATATTAATGTCCTCGTCAATATTTCATATCAGCAGCATGCATTTGTGCAGCCATTTCGTGAGCTTGCACTTTGGAGGTTCAGAAACTGAGGGCTTAAATCCCTGTTCTTCAAACACTGCAATCGGACGGTCTCGTCCAACTTACAAATCCCCTAAACCCAACTGGTACAATCCCTCCAACCCCCCACAGACCCGGTGGCGAGCCAAGGGATTTTGTTTGAAAAATGCAGAATCTGAAAGATTCATTCAAGAGCCAGCGAAAAATACCGCCCATGTGGTCATTTGATGTCATTTGCTCAAAAAGTCATACATATTATACTATGATATACTATGATCTATACTGTCTATACTACCCATTTACGGTCATGTATGGGGATAAATTTTGGGGATGGTTTTCATTACTGGGTTTACCACATTGATTACATTTGGCATGGCAGACATAGGCAGCGATCGAAGGAGATTGTTCTGAACCAAAGATGTCATGAGGAATGGAAATGAATGGAATCCAAGTGATATCGGGTAAACTTGTAAACAGTTGTGGAAAAGCCATGGGGAACCCATGAAAATCGTCTACTTTACTTCGTGTGATCCCCACCATGACATTTATCGATTTGTTACTGGCAAATCTTCTGGCATTCTATCTGACATATCTTCTGGCATTCGATCTCGCATTCTATCTAGCAAATCTTCTGGCATTCTATTTGGCAAACATTCTGGCACTTTATCTGGCATTCTATCTGGCAAATCTTCTGGCATTCTATCTGGCAAACATTCTGGCACTTTATCTGGCATACCTTCTGGCATTCTATCTGACATTCTATCTGGCATACCTTTGGCATTCTATCTGGCATATCTTCTGGCATATCTTCTGACATCCTATCTGGCATTCTATCTGGCAAATCTTCTGGCATTCTATCTGGCAAACATTCTGGCACTTTATCTGGCATATCTTCTGGCATTCTATCTGGCATATCTTGTGGCATTCTATCTGACATGCTATCTGGCGTTCTATCTGGCATATCTTCTGGCATTCTATCTGGCCGTTGAGGTCCAGCGGTGCTCACTGAGCTCGGCGGGTCCCAGGTTGAGTGCTCACTGAGCTCGGAAGGTCCCAGGTTGAGGTCCAGCGGTGCTCACTCAACTCGGCAGGTCCCAGGTTGAGGTCCAGCGGTGCCCAGTGCGCTCAGACCCTTGCAGTTGAAGTCCAGCAGTGCCCACTGCGTGCGGAAGTTGGCGAAGAGCTTGGCGAAGAGTTGGCAAGGCGGAAGTGAACATGGAAGTGGAGGCAGAGGTGGTGGAGGAGAAGGAGGAGGAGGAGAACAACTCTGATAAAATCTAACAACCCTCACCTGGCAGGTGGGGAACAACAGAAGCGTGATAGGCCAGCGATCGAAGGAGATTGTTCTGAACCAAAAATGTCATGAGGAATGGAATCCAAGTGATATCGGGGAAACGTTTACAGTTGTGGAAAAGCCATGAGGAAAGCCCATGAAAATCGTCTACAAATGGTTGATTTTCCACATCGAACTGTAAACGTTTACCCTAGGGGATCTCCTCACTGAACCCTCTCTGGCAGCGTGGACGTCTTCGTCTCAAGTTTCATGGCGACTCAACAAGAATTACAACGACCACATGACGATGTCGCCGTGTATGTTGGGTTTAGTAAGGAGAAGCATTCCAAAAATCATCAGCCATTTCAGGTTCATTTGTCATAAATTGAAAGTTCATCCAGATACATGCCGGCAAAGCCCGGTCTATGGCCCTGAGCGAAGGAGAAAAGGATGCCCAGAAGTGATGCTGGCTATGTGGAGCCAAGTGGCAGCTCAGACTTGATTGACCTTTATGTTCAATACCTAAATGGTGAGGGACAAATGTTGAAGCTCAGTGGTTCCTGTACCGGTTTAGAAGTGTACCGGATGGTCTCAGCAGAACTTCCTCCCAAGAAAGGTGGAAAATTCAAGCTGCATCATCTTGACTCGCCCATGGCATTACACCAAACATTGCAGGAGCAAGGTATGTTAGGCACGACAGTAGCACTCTCTTGTACTTATGTTCCAACAGATCTTTATGCCGCATGGTGCGCTGTCCAAGAATTACCGTTCTCTACGGGAGACCTTGCAATGCAGGGAGTGACACGGATAGAAGGTACAACAGCCAAGGGGCCTTTGCACAATATGCCACAAACTGTTGAACACTTGAAACTGGGCAGTGAATTTAATGACAGCCTGGCACACGTGACCCTGCCAAGTAGTCTTCAGACCTTGACATTTGGCGTTAATTTTAACCAGAGCCTGGCACACGTGACCCTGCCAAGTAGTCTTCAGACCTTGACATTTGGTGGGTATTTTGATCAGAGCCTGGCACAAGTGACCCTGCCAAGTAGTCTTCAGACCTTGACATTTGGCTGGTGTTTTAATCAGAGCCTGGCACAAGTGACCCTGCCAAGTAGTCTTGAGACCTTGACATTTGGCCGCGATTTCAACCAGAGCTTGGAACACGTGACCCTGCCAAGTAGTATTCAGACCTTGAAATTTGGCGGCAATTTCAACCAGAGCTTGGAACACGTGACCCTGCCAAGTAGTCTTCAGACCTTGACATTTGGCGAAGATTTCAATCAGAGCTTGGAACACGTGACCCTGCCAAGTAGTCTTCAGACCTTGACATTTGACTGGTGTTTTAATCAGAGCCTGGCACAAGTGTCCCTGCCAAGTAGTCTTCAGACCTTGACATTTGGCAGGAAGTTTAACCAGAGCCTGGCACAAGTGACCCTGCCAAGTAGTCTTCAGACCTTGACATTTGACAGCGCTTTCAACCAGAGCTTGGAACACGTGACCCTGCCAAGTAGTCTTCAGACCCTGACATTTGGCGGCACTTTCAACCAGAGCTTGGAACACGTGACCCTGCCAAGTAGTCTTCAGACCTTGACATTTGGCGTTAATTTTAACCAGAGCCTGGCACACGTGACCCTGCCAAGTAGTCTTCAGACCTTGACATTTGGCAGGAAGTTTAACCAGAGCTTGAAACACGTGACCCTGCCAAGTAGTCTTCTGACCTTGACATTTGACAGCGATTTCAACCAGAGCTCAGAACACGTGACCCTGCCAAGTAGTCTTCAGACCTTGACATTTGGTGGCAATTGGAACCAGAGCTTGGAACACGTGACCCTGCCAAGTAGTCTTCAGACCTTGACATTTGGCTGGTGTTTTAATCAGAGCCTGGCACAAGTGACCCTGCCAAGTAGTCTTCAGACCTTGACATTTGGCCGCCATTTCAACCAGAGCTTGGAACACGTGACCCTGCCAAGTAGTCTTCAGACCTTAACATTTGACAGCGATTTCAACCAGAGCTTGGAACACGTGACCCTGCCAAGTAGTATTCGGACCTTGAAATTTGGCAGCGATTTCGACCAGAGCCTGGCACACGTGACCCTGCCAAGTAGTCTTCAGACCTTGACATTTGGCAGCGATTTCAACCAGAGCTTGGAACACGTGACCCTGCCAAGTAGTCTTCAGACCTTGACATTTGGTGGGTATTTTGATCAGAGCCTGGCACAAGTGACCCTGCCAAGTAGTCTTCAGACCTTGACATTTGGCTGGTGTTTTAATCAGAGCCTGGCACAAGTGACCCTGCCAAGTAGTCTTCAGACCTTGACATTTGGCCGCGATTTCAACCAGAGCTTGGAACACGTGACCCTGCCAAGTAGTCTTCAGACCTTGACATTTGGCGTTAATTTTAACCAGAGCCTGGCACACGTGACCTTGCCAAGCGCTCTTGGGAGTTTGATGTGTTGTTCTGTCTTGATCAGCAAGGCATGATGGGCCGCTATATACATCATGCGGACTTGAAGAAAACCATTCGGAGGCAAAATTCCGGTTGACTTTGTGTGGGGCCTTGCATGCCCGCAAGACAGGGTATGTTGCTGTGAGTTGAACTGGATCGCTATACATGGGTGAGTTGAACTGGATTGGTATGCCATGGGTATCCACACATTCATAGATTTAGCAGTTTTGTAGTATTCATGTAGCTGCTACCCTCTGGTAAACAAACATAGCTATTGAAAATTGCCATTTATAGTTGATTTACCCGGTATATTTCAGACTCACCATACATGTTGAGCTATGTTGAGTCTCTGGTCTCCTGTCACGGGCTGAAACTGTTTAGACCTGCTGTGTCTCCAAAACATCTCCAACCAGAACTGAACCATCCCCAAGTTCCATACACCCGTTTGTAATCAAACGTGGCTGGCTGGAAATCCTCTGTAAATGGATGTGCATAGCTAGGAAAAATTAGGAAACTCATCTATAAGTGGAGTTTTTGCGAGCCTCTATAAATGTAGGTTTATAGTTTATAGCTGGTAAATTTATCGAACTACATGGGGAAATTCCAGTCACTATCGTGTTTTACTCCATAACAGCGGAAAGATCATAGTTCATAAATGTTCATAATATGTCCATATGAATATATAGGAAATCCTCTCAATTATCAGCTACTTTATGTCATGAATTCCAACTGAAACACCGGATGACCATAAACAATGTGTATATATATATATTTATATATATGGTTATATATATATATATACCCATGGTTATATATATATATATATTATATATGGTTATATATATATGGTTATATATATATGGTTATAAACAATGTATATATATATAATTATATATATATACTGATGGTTAGTTATATATGGTTGTATCATATACCCATGATATTCCCACACTACACCCACTCTCCCATTGAATTCTTGGTGAAATCTCCAAGTTTCGCCCAGGAATCCGCAGGTTCGCCGATGAACCTGGGGAGCGGCAACGATTCTCCCACGTGCCTGGGACATGATCTCCAGTATGTTGGTCGCTGTACAAAGAAACATGGAACTTGGCCTAGATACTTCATTTTCATGGAATATATATATATATATCCATTGTATATTCCATTGACCATGGATTGGTGGGAAAAGTTACAGGACACCCCGGACAGCCCCATATTTCATGGAAAATCCATAGTTTCCGGTAAATTTCCTTGAAACCAATCCATTGAAGAATGGGAATGGGGAAATCGAATGGAACTTCATGGGGCTTCATGGGATTTCATGGGACTCGATGAGGATTTCATGTTAAGGAGAACATATGGCAATACAACGGGATATGTACTAGGATATGTGAGGTATATGATTAGTTATAATGATACGTGTATATATATATATAATATAGACATATACCATATAGTGAGATATACAATGGATACCATATAATGAGATACACCATGGAATATATATATATATAACTAACCAACTGGAAATCATATATGGTTGGCTAGGAAATCCCGGAAATCCCCGAACCAAATGGGAAATTGGATGAGCTGGGAAACTCATCCACGGAAACTTGTAGTTTTCCAGCCAGGCATTTGACTGATTACCAGTACCAAAGGCAAAATTTGTCGATGGTGTCCGCTAATACTTTATATATCCGTGGAATTTACTTTGAAACCTGATGAAACATGGGAAGGTTTCAAGAACCGGAATCGGGGTGTGTTTTGGGCCACAGAATGGTGGGATGTTGCCCACGAAAGATATGGGATTTCACCAGGAAAATGGTCGTTGGACATGTGGATTTAACAAAACAAAATTAGGAAACTCTTTGCCAAACCAATCTGGATTGAAAAACCGTCCTTTTGCATCTTTTGCAGGGCGGAACACAATTTGGGCACATCTTTCAACCATTTCCATGTTCGGTGCCCAGAAATACTTCCCATTTTTTGCATAAGTGATGGTGGTCAAGCAGCCCACGAAACCTTGATTTTGTTTTATTTTTTTAGTAAACATCAATGGATTTAAAAAAACATCCTACATAGTGGCCCGGGATGCTAAACAAAATGATATTTCATGATGTTCATGTAGGTTAACGGCCTTGTTATGGGGAATGGTGGTGCGAAAACGACAAGGTGGTCCCAAATTCTCTGAGTGCCGGCTGCAATAACAAAAACTTACCTATCGCGAATGATAGGAGGACAAAGCGAAAACAGTGACACAGCGGGTATAAAATCAGTGTTTAACCTTGGCAATCAAACATGGATGGCTGGGAAATCCTCAAACTAAATGGAGGCTTTAAAGTTTCATATACCCTCTGGTAATTTAACATAGCTATTGAAAATGACCATAGAAATAGTGGAATTTCCCATTAAAAATGGTGATTTTCCATAGCTATGTTAGTTTACCAGAGGGTAATTGGAAAAAGGAGGTTTTAAATAGGAAAAGTCATGGAAAATCATCTATAAGTGGTGGGCTTTCCAGCCATGCTTGATTACCAGAGGGTAACCATCCGATTGGCCACTGATCTTGCGGCAATGCCTATGAGGAACATTACTTTGATTGAACACACCAAACGCATAAATGGTATATAAATGGTATATTCATCTAGAGCTACTTTGACTGTATATTCATTGTAAATGATGGAAAAGGTCATACGTTTTCAAGCGTCTTGATTTATCAATCTATACAGATGCATATAATTACATACATATATATAATATAATATAATGATAATATATATATATATTCTGGTTTATCATCACATCACATCACCTGTAAACCTCCGATGATCTCCACCATGTTTGGGTGACATCCGCTGTGCCAAGGATGGACCGCATTATGCCACCACCCACACGAGTTGGAGCCTCAAATTCATCCGACTTCCACCGGCAAAACAAGTGCTTCGGCTGGCTTGTGTTGGTGGTATACATACATGTTTGTATGTGTTTACATGTGTTTGTATGTATTCATATGTGATCATGATTCACAATCTTACATTGCATCCTCAGGTTTTGTGCAAGGTTTTGTAGTCAGAATAAGCTATTGCCTTGGAAGCCGCGGCATGGGAAGACTGCCTTCAGGAGTGGCATGGTGGAGAGATTGGGCAGCTCGGATGCCGCGGTGGATTCACCCGAGGTTTTTGGGGCTTGTTTCGGGGCACCTCGTAGCACCAAGGTTCTGTTCAAAGGTCAATCCCAACCAAGACATGTTTTTCAACCGATACTGTGGATGGTTGCGAAATCCGGCCGGTTGATAGCAGTTGGTAGGTTTATCCCATGATAATCCCATTGTCCTAGTGTGTTTCATAGGAATCCCTTCACAGTTACGAACAGGAAGTCCCAGCCGATTGGCCAACGCAGATCCGAGGTGGAATGATTTGTGCGACACTCAGAGGGTTTTGGCTTCACAGGTGCCATTCCATGCATCGTTGCTATCTTTATGGAGTTCTCCGGATTCTGGGCCTGTGATTTGTCTGGTGCTACTGGTGTCTCCTGCTTGGAATATATGCATAGTGCGTTGTCAAAGCGGGCTATGTATGCTCTGTTGAGATAAAAATGGAGATGATTTGGCTGATATATAGGGTCTGCAAATGTCAGCGGCAGCCCTGGTGAAGAGATCTTTGTCGACGGCAGGACCCTCTGTATACAAAACAGGAGTCAGAATCGATTCTGATTTCGAGAAATGCCTCAAATTCTTGTCTTTTTGGGAAAATCGACCGGAAACCCTCAAGATGTGGCTGATAAAAACATGATTCCCTTACATAACAAAAAAACGTATAATTACTTTACTTCATGTGATCCCCACCATGACATTTCTACATTTTCTTACTGGCAAATCTTCTGGCATATTTTCTGGCATTCTATCTGGCAAATCTTCTGGCATTCTATCTGGCATATCTTCTGGCATATGTTCTGGCATATCTTCTGGCAAATCTTCTGGCATTCTATCTGGCATTCTATTTGGCATTCTATCTGGCATATCTTCTGGCATTCTATCTGCCATATCTTCTAGCATTCTATCTGGCATTCTATCTGGCATATCTTCTGGCATATATTCTGACATATTTTCTGGCATTCTATCTGTCATCCTATCTGGCATTCTATTTGGCATTCTATCTGGCATATCTTCTGGCATATCTATCTGGCATATCTTCTGGCATATTTTCTGGCATTCTATCTGGCAAATCTTCTGGCATTCTATCTGGCATTCTATCTGGCATATCTTCTGGCATATTACCTGGCATTCTATCTGGCATATCTTCTGACATATCTTCTGGCATTTTATCTGGCATTCTATCTGGCATTCTATTTGGCATTCTATCTGGCATATCTTCTGGCATATCTATCTGGCATATCTTCTGGCAGATTTTCTGGCATTCTATCTGGCAAATCTTCCTACATGAGGTCCGGCAGGGAACACTTGGCATGGATACTCGCGGTTGAGGTCCGGCAGGGAACACTGGGCGTGGATGGCCGTGGTTGAGGTCCGGCAGGGAACACTGGGCGCGGATGGTCGTGGTTGAGGTCCGGCAGGGAACACTGGGCGCGGATGGTCGTGGTTGAGGTCCGGCAGGGAACACTGGGCGTGGGTGGTCGTGGTTGAGGTCCGGCAGGGAACACTGGGCGTGGGTGGTCGTGGTTGAGGTCCGGCAGAGAACACTGTGGATCGCGGATCGCAGTTGAGCAAGGACGACGAGGACGACAAGGACGACAAGGATGACAAGGAGGACGAGGAGGAGGAGGACGAGGCAGGAGGAGGCGGAGGAGGAGGAGGAGGAGCAGGAGGAGGAGGCAACTGACATAAAATCTAACAACCCTCACCTGGCAGGTGGGGAAAAAACAGTGACTGCCCCGGGCCCCGTAATGTTTTTTCATGTTGCCCATTTTGAAGCAGGATGTTTAGGCTATCCCACTAGCTGTTTTGTTTCAGTGGTATGTCAGGTTGGCTACAGTTGCAGCTGCAAAAAGCTGCAAACATATCATATGGGGTTGATTTACAATGCACATCAAAGAAGTTTCCCCAAAACAGTAAGACAGATCTTGGATATCTTGGGCACTGTCCCCAAGACCCACTCCTCTCCACTCTTGTTTCATTATACCGACCCCTGCTAGTTCTTTGATGTTCTTGGCATCCTGGCTATCACTTTCGGATGCTCAGAATTGGTTCACCCATCGGAGGATCATCTGTGACCCCCTACAGCTTGCTTCATATCCCTAGCGTTGCCACGTTTGAGAACTTGACGAAAATCCCCAGAGAAAAAACCAGCACACAGTCAGTTGCCACTTTTTTTTTGCACGCTGTCAGTATAGCTACCAGAAACCTGAGCCACGTATCGCGCTACCATTGGCCGCCCTTGAGCCACCCTTGAGCCCTTCGACTTACCAAGGCTGCACGTTGTCATGATCCCTTCCTATAAGACTCCCATGGAAGTCTTACGCATGGCCTTGCACGTCTGGGACCTCATGGGACCTTGGGGCGACCTTGTGAAGAAAAGATTTCACCAGATGGAAACCCGAAAATGAATGGGGATTTGGTACCATTGTGGTACCATTTAATTATTCAAAATTGAGATAATATATATATATATAATTATATATATAGATACCATATAGATATATATATATATATACATATAATATATATATTATACATATATATACATAATATATATATATATATATATTTACATATATATATATACATACATATATATATATAATGTATATATATATACACATAATATATATATATATACATATATATACATACATATATATATAATTATATATATATATAGATACCATATATATATATATATTTACATACATATATATATATTATGTATATATATATAATATGTATATGTATATATATATATCAATATATACATATAATATATATATACATATATATATATAATACATATATATATATAGACACACATATATATAATACATATATATATATATATACATATATTTTATATTTTATATTCAAGATATGAATAGCCATTTAATGGGATTCAAAGAACCACCAGGTTTACCAGTTCACCATTTCAGCTGCGTCTCAGGCTGTCATGAACTACAAGCAGTGCAGGACGTGGCTTCGACACGGGTGCGGATGGTGGTCATTGGATGCCCTAAAGAGGCGAGAAGAGGGAGCCAATCCAAAATAGGCGTACGCTGCCAGTCTCCCACACACATTTGCTGATATATATATATATACCCTCTGGTTATTTAACATAGCCATGGAAAATCCCTTATAAATGGAGGTTTTAATGGGAAAATCATCTATAAATGGGCCATTTTCCATGGCTATGTTAAATAACCAGAGGGTATATATATATATTTCTATATATACGCAAGTGCAGGCAGAAATTGACATAAATGCATCGATACATGAACACATGAAAACATGTATACATGAAACAGTAGGTACATGTACGCCGTAAGTACATACATGATCATACATATATGTACGTTCATGTACGTTCGTACATAGATACATTCCTGAAACACGCGATTTCACCGTCAAAAGGAGCTGGGAAACCCTGGGTTTCAGGGTACCGCGTTTATGAGAAACAACCCAGAGAGCCCTCTGGAAAGTAACATTGAAGCTTCACGTACATGTCTTTGGAGTGTGTGTTGTTTCTTTGAAATTGCAATAAGCTGGTCTTACAATGAGGTTGTACCTCCCAATAGACCTACACGATTTCACTGACATCACTTAGATGCCATCGAGGGATCAAGTGGGTTGTGCAAGTTCAAAGAATCATTGAGCACTGCCCAGCACCCCTGTTGATTGTTGATGGGACTCATATGATCCACTATAAAAAACCCTGAATTCCAATCCAGCCAATCATATTCAGGAAATAGGTTTGGTCGGTTTGGTACATTTTGGTGCATGGAAGGAGCAACTTGGGTGTGTGCTTTGCCTTCGAAGAACGTGAGCAAGAAGCTCAAGGGAAGGCCAACACCGCTCCCAAGCGCCGAAGGGCCCCGAAGGGCTGGAAACATCTGGTAAGTGGTATCAGTAAACATCTGGTAAACAAACATGGCTGGAAAATCTCCGTTGCTTTTTTTGAAGAGGAAGATATATAGGAAAATGATCATTGCATTATCATCGCGTATCAATGCTCACAGTGTCAAAAAGCATATATATAATTATGTAAGTATATAGATCATACTAGATTCACAATAGATCTGCGAAGAATGATCAATACGGATATCTTGCTGGGGGGATTTCGCACCCCATGTTGCCCATCAAGATGCTTCCTCTGGTCGGCAAGAATTGAAACTGTCTGGCTGCCCTATCCTCGAGTTGTAATGTCACTGTCCTCGAGTTGTATCCTCATTCACCCTGGTTGATCAAATACAGGGGGTTGGATTCATAACCGGTTGGTGGTTTGGAACACGTTGGATATTTTTCCATGGAATGTCATCATCCCAACTGACGAACTCATATTTTTTCAGAGGGGTAGGTCAACCACCAACCAGATAAAGATGTCTTGAATATTTCTTGACTACTTGGGGTGATCACCCCCCAATAGCGATCATTTGCTACTCACATAGTACAGTACGCCCCATTCAAACAGCCGGGATAAATGATTTAATTTTATTGATCATAAACTAGTTACCAATAATAGTACCAATGATCACGATTGGTAACTCATATTATCCATACCAATAGTACCATAATAGTATCAATCATGATTTACCAATAATAGTTACCAAGAATGGTTACCAATAATAGTTAATAGTTACCAATAATAGCACCATAAACTAGTCACCAATAATAGTACCAAAATGTTTAATAAGTCACTACCAATGGATATAAGGATATACCAGTCACCAATGTTCTATCAAAATTTAACCAGTCATTACCAATGATATGTCATTTCCCTTTTTATTGGTCTCTTTGGTATCTCCAGTGATCTCTAGAGCTTGGTCGACCTCGTCGCAGGCTGCACAGCTCGCAGAAGAATACGCCGGCGAATTCGCCTTCGTAACGGTGGGGGAGCTGAAGTTTGTCAAAGCTGCCACGGGGAAGTAACTAAGAATTAAAAAAAAAACGTGAGTTCCATTCATAGATAATGATGATACATAAATATATATGTGATTTATATATAATGTTGGCTGCCTAATAGTAATTACCCCCCTCCCCCCCTATTTTTTTTTTAAAGGCGGGGGGTCAACCTTCCTATAATATTTTTTGGGAATCTATAGCTGGGATCATGATATGTATCTGATAGATTCTCCATGGTTTTGTTGGGTTTCTGATAGATTCTGAATGAATTTGGTTGGGTTTCTGAGAGATTGGCGAAGAGTCGGCAAGGCGGAAGTGGACATGGAAGTGGGGGCAGAGGTGGTGGAGGCGAAGGAGGAGGACGAGGAGGAGGAGGAGAAGAAGGAGAAGAAGGAGAAGGAGAAGGAGGACAACAAAATTGGAGTTGCGGAAAAAAGTTTCCACTATTGCCATGCCTGGTGCAGGTTTGTTATTGCTATTCTGGGGCTTGCAAAGGGGGTACCCTTTGTGGACCTGCTTTCTTGCTTTTTTTAATAAGGGTTTTATAAGGAAATCAGCTGTTTGGTAATTGGATCAGATTTCTGGAACCTAAGCTTTTGCTAATCAAAAGTGAAGGCTGCTTTGAAAAGGATTTGCTTTACTTGACTCTTTTGGCAATACTAAAAGTAAATGGAGCTTAGTGACTTTTAGTATTGGAGAAAAATTGGAGTTGGGAAAAAAGTTTCCGCTATTGCCATGTTGGGTCCACTATTGGCCATGCCCTCTGGACAAGGTCTGAACATGACTCTTTTGGCAATACTAAAAGTAATTAGAGCTAATTGACTTTTAGTATTGGAGAAAAATTGGAGTTGCGGAAACATGTTTCTACTATTGACAAGATATCACTATTGGTCAGACAACATTAATGTATATGTTAACATGATGTATACGATGCATGTCTTACATATTTTATGTATGAACTATATATATATATTGTGATTTGTGTATGAGTCATATATATATATGATATATATATATATGATATGATATGTATAAATATGTGTATATATATGATAGTATATGTATGCATATGATATGCGTGTATATATATACATTTATATGTGATATGTATATATATATATATGGTACGTATTTATATGCATGATATAGTTAATTCATATATATATATATATACATACATACTTCACTGTATGATATATATATATATATATATATTGATAATATGATATATAGTTAGTATACAATGATGATAGTAGATATGATAATGATACAATATTATATATTTACATATCATGTATCACTATGATTTTCGTTAATTGAATATCCGTTTATAGATGATTTTCCATTGAACTGGTAATGATATAGGAACGCTTGAGGGTAAAGGGTGCGTTTCTGGCTTAATTTGTTCCATCCCGTAGCATTCTACACCCCGAAGAAACCGATGTTTAACCGTTCAACAGGTGGAATTACACTATTTGGGATCCATTAACCATGGGGGATGGCTCTAGTTTTAGTATAACTTAATGGTGTTTAACGGTCTCAATTCAAAGAAACTATTTTTGCTTGTCTTGTTTATGTAATCTCCAGAGTTTGCCTTGGTTTTTTGTGATAGGGAATTCAGCAGCAAAAAACTCGAGGGTCAACATCTTCGATCCTGCAGCTTAGCATTCATCAGCTTGATATGTGGTGACATACTTCAAATTTGATATTGAAAATGGCCATTTATAGTGAGTTTTCCCATTAAAAATTGTTATTTTCAATAGCTATGTTAGTTTACCAGAGGGTAGTAAAGAAATCATAAAGCATAATTTAATAAACCATCCATATGTTGATGGTCCATTCCACACATTTAAAGCAAGATGGACCAATAATGTCTTATTGCCAATAATTGCGTTACTAGTATTCATGGCACTTATATCAATATATTTACATGGTTCACTTTGTGCTGTCGTGCACATGTGTGATTTCATCCCATCAAAAAGCGAGTCAAAATGTTGTCGTAGAATGCCGCCTGACCCGAGGCGACCTTTCATCCACCCAACTTGCGCCTCGCCGTGGGATGGGGGGTACCATAACTGGCCGAAGTGGCCATTGCTATATTACCCTCTGGTAAACGTTTACATAGCTATGGAAAATAATTTTTTTAAATTTGTAAATCCACTATACATGGCCATTTTCAATAGCAAACTGTTAGTTTACCAGAGGGTATGACCAGTCACCACTGTCACATAGAATGTTGCTGACATGCTCGAATTTTGGGAGACTAGCTGACTCACCGTCCAGCCTTGTGGCTTCAAATCCCTTGTTTTGTGATGATCATCCCGCAATCTGCTCGATTCCTCCCTTTAAGACATCTATGCCCTGAGGTAATCTAGCCTGGCGATTCCTCATCATTTGAGCAGTGGCTAAACCCCTGTCGGTTGATGATTAGTTAGGGGATTATACTACCCAATATATGGGAGATTCTAATAATCCAATAGGGAAATCCCTATAAAATTTTAAACCATGCTCATTTAGGTTTCCTTCTTAAAATCACATGTTCTCCATGCAGCCATGACTTTTTTCTCAGTTGGTGAATATATTCGTGATATTCCATGAAGTCTCCCCACGAACATCCCGTGTTTTCCCCATCCTTCGATGCTGTAAAAACCATCCGGTGTCATCAAACATGGCTGGAAAATCCACCACTGATATATATATATATATAATTATTTATTTGTATATATCTATATATATATATATAACTATTTATATGTATATATATACATATATATATACAATATGTATATATACATATATATATATATTTACATACATATATATATATATATACGCATAGAATATCATATGTAATTTTCCATATTCTAGTTAGAAAACTGCAATAATTTATAGATGAATTTTCCCCAGGAGTCGGGACTTTCCAACAGTCACCCTGGATCCACTCCAACGAAGCAGTTGAGCCGCCGAGGCCTGGGCATATCCCCGGGAAATCCTCCAACGAATGTTGGGCCTTCCAGGAACTCAGCAAGGCGTTCCAGCGATTTTCCGTGGTGGTGGTTGACCGTCGTGAGGATATACTCCAGATGACTGAGATATAGATGACTGAGATATGACTGAGATAATAGTGGGATATATAATGGGTGTATATATAATGGTTAATAGTTTTTAGTAGGCTATAAACCAACAACGATGGGAATATGACGGAGACATCTGGTTGGTGGTTTGGAACATGAATTTTATGACTTTCCATATATTGGGAATAGTATTGTAACCCCAACTGACGAAGTCATATTTTTCAGAGGGGTAGGTATACCATGGGTAGTTTAATCCTTTAGTCTTTTGGTATCAATGGGATCCTCTACTAACCAGCTAAGAATTTAATTTTGTGCAGGGCATCTAAGATTGGCCATGTAGGCTGAAGACAGTCTTTGATCAGAACTTCCACTCATAATTTTTGTTAACATGACAACCTATACAAATTCTATCATTTACCATTCTGCATCGGTATCCCGGTATCCCCAATCATGATTATATGCAATTCTAAAAGTATGATGGCATGTAACATCCAAATATGTTCTATTTGACACTATTTCCAAGCTCTTTGTTTGCTTGCAATGTTGTTTTGTAAAAGAGACATATACAGATACAAGATTATGGTAGAAAAGGAGATACAAAGGTGCTTGAAGCGGCAAACAGTGGTGGTTTAAACATCATAAAATGGAATCTCACCAACGATAATTGGTCATGTTCCCCCCCAAAATGGAGGAATTCACCTATGATAGGTGAATCGCAGCCGCTTTTCAGGGGGAAATAGGTCATTTGTAGTATCACCTCTTTACTTCGCCAATAGAAACCCGCCAAGTATCTGGAGTGGGAGGAGTGTGGAATGGGGAAATCATGAGTTTCAAGGTGTGTCATATGGGTTTGTCTGGTAGAAATGATGATCCACCATAAACTGTTCGTCTGTTTTCCACCCAAAGTTTCAAGGAGAAAACCATATATTACTTGGTGCGCATGGTTTGCGAATGGGTGGCTTACTGGTTGATGTTTGATCGTTGGTGGATTATACAACTGGGTTTTCAGTTGCACGAGGTCTGGCACCGGCGATCCCATCTCTAGCAAGCCCTTCCTATGTTGTACCATCCGCAGAATATATCATAATATCTGGGTAAATTATAACGACCTCACTGTTCTCCCGAACCCTGGAATCATGGTTTTTATAGGGGAATCATCCCCTTTTATGGCCGAACTATTCAGGTTTGTGAATGAACATAACTTGCCCAGAATAATATCATGATATAAGATAAGATTATAGATTACTGTAAGCTTTAAGGTGTTCCCCCCCCCAAAAAAAATAGTTCACTTGGGTGAAGGGCATCGTCATGTTTCATTGGTGATTGGTCAAATAGTGGCTATCACGCAAGGCCGTATTATTATGATAAGAACCCCAAATAGAGGCTCCTATAATGGGGTTACCCCAAATCATCACAATCATCCAAGATTATATAGGCAATTTGTGCATTGAAAGCCCTGGTTTTGGGGGTAGCCCACATTTTCCTCCATATGAATCTCCCTGGAAAAACGAATCCCCTGCCAGGAGCTGCGCTCCATGCGCGGCTTTGAGCCGGATGATCCGCGCGTCATCATCACGGTGGCATGACGGCCAAAGTTTGGTGCTGGGCGGCTGGGGTTTGGATGGTTGCGAAATCCTGCGTTGATAAGTGGCAAACATCCCAATATTTTGTTTTGGTTGCCATCGAAGGTAGTGCAGGATTTCTTCCATCCACAGTAGTTTATGGCAATTTTAATGGGATAACTAGATATAACTAGCCCATTTTCGGACCACCTGGGGCAGAGGGGATTGGAAATTCGTGGCTGACCCCGAGGATGCTGATCCCCAAGGACTTTTTGAAACGGGTTGAAATCACCACTTAGACAAGACTGTAAGGATGTTAAATATGTTAACAATGACAGGGATACGGGTCAAAAGTTTTTTCGGTCTGAAGTTTGGATAGTTCAAGACCAAAGGTCTATTGCTTGAAGCGTCCCTACGGGTTGACGCATGTTGACGCGACTGAGATGAAGATGTGGCCGAACTGGTGCCGAACTGGTGCAACTTACTGCAGAAAACCCATGGACTTGTCCAATTTGTTCATTTTTCCATGGAATTCTAGGGGTCGTTACTGGTTTCCTGCAGAGATTCTGAGAGATTGTCCCTTGATCTGTCGTGGATTCCAGTGGAACATGTCAGGTCATTGACGATGATTCGGAGCTGCATGAGAATTATTTCGAGGCGCTCTCCTATCACTACTTGAAGGCCTGGCTCAGGTGGATAGGTGGCAAAACAAACTCAAAAATCCAGGGTTTTTCTGGGAAGAGGAAACCCTTAGCCAGATTAGGCCATTCAATTTGGGTTCCTTCAAATTGAACAGCCTATCAAAATATCATTTTTTTTACCATCAACAGGAAGGATTTCATGGGGATAGATGTAGTGAGATTTCTTAGCAACCAGAATTTCATGGGTGTATCGGTGTATCGTCAGGATGGGTATACTGGTGTACCCCCATGTCTGGCCAGTTTGATAGGGAACATATGGGAAAACCCATGATCAACTAATGGATGGAATGGTGTATTTTCAGGCCAATCCAAATATTTCGAGAGGTAAAACACTGGTTCCTGTAAAGCATCCATTTAAAAAACATGGGGAATCCCTTGGGACAGAAACAACCAACACATTGGGGGGAATCCCCAAGCAGCAGAATGTTTTGGATGAAGCACATCCCCATTTTTTTTTTCCCAACCAAAACTTACTCAGATCTCAAACTGAACTGCCAGAGTCTGCTCTCCCATAATATCATAATTACCTTTAAGGGATGTTACGAAAAAAACTATTGTTTGGCTGGTCAAACTGTGCTTGTTCCATGGTTTTGTTTCCATGGTTTTCTCGCAGCGGGCCATCTTCACCGTATCTCAGGCGTCGGAGAAGGATCGTTACACCACCCTGTTTCAGCCGCCGATCGTCCACTTCAAGAACTTTTTGACCCAGTCCGGTGCCCTCATGATATTACCCTCTGGTAAACTAACATAGCTATGGAAAATCAGCACTTAATATACTTAATAGGTAAATCAACTATAAATGGGCCATTTTCAATAGCCATTTTGACATAACCAGAGGGTAGTTGAAAGTCATCGTGAAAGATGGGCAGATGGGGTGGATCAACATAGGCCCATTGTGCGGGAGCTTGGTACCACATGGGGGGATTCATCTTAACATATCTCAACCATAAATGGGGAATGCCAAGAATGGATCTCCCTTAGGGGAAAAAAAAACCGTGAAATTTGGATTCTTTAGGACCCCCTAAACCCTGATTTATGGAAACACTTCATAGGTCCATGTCATCCTAAAACTCACAGAACATGTCCATGTCTTGGCACGTTGGCACCCCGCACGGTGACTGAGGCCCATTCTGGTGCGAAATGCCTCGCTCTTCACATCCTTGCATGAGCTGGCATGCTTGGCTGGGCAGCTCAGATCAGCTCAGAATGGATGTGGATGGTCCCAGTTGTATGTGGAAGATGTTTTGCAATGTTTTCAAAACCCCTACACAGTATTATATACATTATGTGTATATATATATATAGTAATTTATTAATATATATATATATATATATGCATATATATATATATGCATATTATATTCCCTATATTTGCATATCTATATAAATATACCATGGTTTCTGGGGTGTTTCGTATGAATGTGGGAAGGGCTTATTCTGAATGTCTGGTGTGACAATGGCCAACGACTCGGAATTCATGTGATTTACAAGCCAATATGAGGATGCCGAGAAAAAAAAACATGTGTTGTTTGTCTCAGTATTAAACTGCACGGCTTGGTAAAGGTCCTACTTGTTCACATCACCCAAAAGGGGAACATTTACCTTCCTGAATTGTATAAAATCAAGTCCTGGCCAAAATCTTGTTAGAGGTTTTTGTTAGACATAGCGAACAGTTTGCGAACTTGAAAATGGCCCAGAGAAATAGTTGATTTACCTATTAAAAATGCATGGTTATTTTCCACAGCTTTTTCCCACAGCGTGTTGCTTCAACCAGCGCAGTTTTTTCCCCATTCTGAGGCGAATCCGGTGGACTGTCATGTGGCCTTCTCGAGCTATTCCCTGAGTTATATCTTGGCCTCTGCGGTTCAAGGCGGGGCTGAAGAGCCTGGAAGGCTATGATTTAGGCTATGATTTGTCATGATGGTTGATTGGTGGTTTTTTGGGCTTGGTTCAAGTTTAAAGCTGGTTGATCGGTATACTGAAACACCATGATACCCCAATAAAATCACCATGAAATCCCCATGATTGGTGGATGATGGATCATTGGAAAAATCTGGGGTCGGTTGAAGTTGAACCAGAGGAACCCATCAGCGACCCAATCAACACCCAAGATGGAGGTCAAGGACCGTTGATGCACGAAGGGAAACCTCCCGTCCACCAACACTGACATATTATATTATATAATATTATATTATATACATTATATGATATGATATTATATTATATGATATTCTATTTTATTGTATTATATTGGATTTTATCATATTATATCATATTATATTATATCATATAATATTATATTATATACATTATATGATATGATATGATATTATATGATATTCTATTGAATTTTATTATATTGTATTTTATCATATTATATTATATTATATTATATTATATACATTATATGATATGATATTATATTATATGATATTCTATTTTATTTTATTATATTGTATTTTATCATATTATATTATATGATATTCTATTTTATTTTATTATATTGTATTTTATCATATTATATTTTTTAATATTATATTATATACAATATATGATATGATATTATATTATATGATGTTCTATTTTATTTTATTATATTGTATTTTATCTTATTATATTATTTAATATTATATTATATACATTATATGATATTATATTATATGATATTCTATTTTATTTTATTATATTGTATTTTATCATATTATATTATATAATATTATATTGTATACATTTTATGATATGATATTATATGATATTCTATTTTATTTCATTATATTGTATTTTATCATATTATATTATTTAATATTATATTATATACATTATATGATATTATATTACATGATATTCTATTTTATTTTATTATATTGGATTTTATCATATTATATTATATAATTTTATATTATATACATTATATGATATGATTTTATATTATATCATAGTATATTATATAATATTATATTATATACATTATATGATATGATATGATATTATATGATATTCTATTTTATTTTATTATATTGTATTTTATCATATTATATTATTTAATATATTATATTATATACATTATATGATATGATATTATATTTTATGATATTCTATTTTATTTTATTATATTGTATTTTATCATATTATATTATATAATATTATATTTTTTACATTATATGATATGATATTATATTATATGGTATTCTATTTTATTTTATTATATTGTATTTTATCATATTATATAATATAATATTATATTATATGCATTATATGATATGATATTATTATATGATATGATATGATTTTATATTATATCATAGTATATTATATAATATTATATTATATGATTTGATATTATATTTTATTGTATGATATGATATTATATTATATTATATGTTATTATATTATTTTGTTTTTTATTATATTATATTGTATTGTATTTTATTATATTATATAATATGATATGATATGATATTATATGATATGATATTATATTATGTTGTCATATATTTTTTTTAAAACATAGTATATTATATTTTATGATATTATATTATATTACATTATGTTGTAATATATTCTTATTATATTATTTTGTTGTAATATATTGTATTATATTATATTTATTATATTATATTATATTATATAATATAATATTATATTATATTATAATATAATATTATATTATTATTTTATTATGATTATATTATATTCTTATTATTATTTTATATTATTATTATATTATATTATATTACATGAATTATATTATATAATGTCATTATATTACATAATATTTGTTAATTATATTATATTATACTATATTTTATTATAATGGCATACAATGTAATATGATATAAAATAAAAACTACAAATATTTGGAATCCGGATTTGAAGGGTTTTCGGTACAAGTATCGATTCCATCCTGATTTGGGAGATGCTGATCCCGAAGCATCGAACTTGTCGAAGAAGGTCTATGAAGGTCTAATCCTCCACATGGATCGCTACAGGAATGGATTTTGCTTAAGATCCGTTAAACATGTTGCTTTGTTTCATCCCGATTTTCATCAACTGCCCTGGAGCCTTGAAAGTTGGGCCAGGCTGGGATCCGGATTTCATCTCTGAGGACGGGAGGGAGGTGCTTACTGCATAGGTTAAACATGGTTTGTTACCTGCTGTAGCCATGTGTTTTTCTTGGAATACAAAAAAAAACTTACAGGTGGAAAACAAAGAATAGGTCCCCACCCGTGGGCATCAACTGACGCACGGGTTCATGGTGCGATACTGAGAGGACTGGCACATGACCGCCAAGTGCAAACTCATGACTGAGGGCAAAACGCTCAGTTTCTTCAAGCACTTTGGCGCTTGTGCCACAGTTTTGAGTCGATTCATTACAGATTTCGAGGTCACAGAATAAACATTAAACAATATGGGAGAAATGGCCGTTGTTGGTGCTTGGCGCGATTGATTTGCAACTTTCGTATTGATATGCTTACCTGGAATTCACTGTATTCTTGGGACAGTTGAACACACCTAACCACGATGATTGGCACCGAAAAACCATCCGAAAATGGTCGAACCTTCAAAGGTTTGTGAAATACTTGTTCTTTTGTCCACAGGAAAAACGATGGAAAGCCCATTGGCCATTTACGTCTTTCCCAGCAAGGCCGAGCGTCAGTGAAGCCCATCTTCCTTCCTCTGATGAACTATGCTCCTGAAGAGGATGATGTGCGGCCCACAGATTTTGTACCGGCAGTGCCAGAAACTGGTGGATTGAATCTTTATATCCAACAATACCCCACATACATCCAGTGATTGATGGTTTCAGTACGTGTCTGCCTACACAACGTAAGATTCATTGCGGCTAGATTGAGACCTCCGGGCACGTGGGCAGAGGGTTTCGAAATGAAATCAATGAAAAGATAGGTCATAGTTTCTGGTTTCCCTAACTTTGGAGTTTCAGTTGGTCATCATTGGTTGGGGTAGGTCATTGTTCAATGATTTACCAGAAAATGAAGGAATCTCATCGCGAAAAGGTCGAAAGATGTTGAACGGCTGGGGTTTTGCGGGGTATCTACTTTCCTCCAAGGCCGATTCGCAAGGTCTTGCCCATGTTTGTACCACTCTATTTTTATATCCTTAATGAATCTCAATGAATGGTTGGTTTTATCATGTTTTAATCTTGGTTCCTGATTAGTGTGAGGCCCCCCCCCTCTAAACAATATCTGGACTCTCTTTAAAGTGGAAAGTCAAAATGTTTCTTCCCAAGAGAAAAACATATCCTCACTTAAGCAAGGATTTCAATTGGCTACAATTGAAATCTAATTAAAACTGTTTTTTGCGGATGAACTTGTGGTACTTGTAGTACTAGTAGTACTTGTAGTATTTGTAGTACCTGTAGTACGTGTAATACTTGTAGTACTTGTAGATTACAGGCTGTTGTTTTTCCAAAAAAAAGCTCTCCCATTTTTTTTTGCCACAAAAGTGAACCCTCCAAACAATACGTGGGTTTCAGAATAATTTGGAAAAAATTGCCACAATAGCGAACCTAGCTACTAATCAGAGACCGACATTATCCAAATTCTGGTGGTTAAAAAAAAATGTGATCAGCATTTGTTCTCAATTGGCGGTGGGGGTTATCCAATGCTGACTGTTTATATCAGTATCAAATCATGTTCATCCCCAACTTCTGGTGATTATCAGTTACCCTCTGGTAAACTAACGTAACTATGGAAAATCACCATTTTTACTGGGCAAATCCACTATTTCGACTGGGCCATTTTCAAGTTCGCAAACTGTTAGTTTACCAGAGGCTATCAGCTACCCTCTGGTAATTTAACATAGCTATAGAAAACCACCATTTTTAATGGGAAAACTCACTATAAATGGCAATTTTCAATAGCTATGTTAGTTTACCAGAGGGTAGTTCACCCTGAAACCTTTATCTTATCCCTGTATGCCATCCCGTGCCATGCCATCCCCAGCAATCCCCAGGCTTGGAGCACCGTGATGTGTGGCAGCCCATCAAATGGAACAGAAGTGTGGTGACTGCGAAATGTATGTCTAATGGGCTAGTTTATCCATGTTCTATGAGATATTTTCCCGGGGTTTTTCTGGGAATTTCTGGGATTTAATGGGGTGTAAAATCAACAATCTGATATTAGTGGCTTTGGTTGAAAATGGTAGATAGCCCCCAAATGGTACTTTTCATGGGGAAAATGATGATTAACCAATAATATCCAATGGATTTAGAGGTGCTGTACCCTATTCTCAGACAAAGGCATATCTAGGCAACATGATTTGCTCATGACTTGTTGTCTTATGCCTCATCTTGCGAACAGGTCACGCTGGACGCAAGCAAAGCGTCACGCCCTGGGGATGAGTGAAATCGTGTGCGCCAGTGGTGAATGGAGCGTTTGGGAGCGGTTGGGATACCCAGATTCCCAAAGCAAAAAAAACCATGGGGGGCCCACTTGGAGCTACGAACTCAGAGTTTCCAAAGCATCTGTTTTTGAGGGGTTGGATGGATCAAAAGCTGATGGATGTTCGATGAATTTTAGGGATCAGATAACATCAGATAGCATCAGATAACATCCCAGCGTTCTACGGGCCCCATAGTTAAGGGCTGATCCCTTTCTGAAAAATCTCTCGCAGATGGATGTTGGAGAGTCCTCCCACCTTTCGAAAAATGATGGGCCCCTACGTACAGATGGCAGCCAAAATCAAGATTTACATGATATTACATGGGTGGTTAGAATCTCATCACATGTATTCGCAGTATGTTCCTTGGAGCCTCATTTTTGGTAAGGAACACATCCCAAATTTTGATGGTTGACATCCCCAGTGATGATCACCAGGTACGTAGCAACCAAGATGTCATGGGACTCAGATTCGGGGGGGAGGCGGATGAGGAGGTGCTTGTGGAGGTTAGGGGGGTATCGAACCAGAGGGTTATAGAGGGTTAGGGGTATCGAAGTATGTCACTATTCTGTATATCTAGGTATATCTAGGTATATCTATAGTAGATGATGATAGATTAATATAGATTATGTATTGATTATGTAATATGTCGTCTAGGTTAGGGCTATCGAAGTCGTTTTTTTGCACTGGTCGTGGCCACAGGAAGAAACCCAGGTCAAAGGCTCATCCCGCTGCCCAAAAACGGTCACCCAAAACAGAGATTTCTTCAAAGTTCGTTAAAATATCCGCAGATCATCAGATCTATATACATATCTATATACATATTCTATAGTTTAAACATGTTTAAGCAGTTGCCTTATTGCCTTATATAATATATATGTATAGATCATAGATATATAGAATGCATCCATGTTAGGTGGTTTCCATAGTCATGGGGGTACCCCAAGCTCGCCTGAGGTACATTGGGATGTGCGAGTCGATCGCTGAGACTTCGGTGGTTTTGTGGTTCGCCGCGGTTGACAAAATACCGCCCAGTTTTTTGAAGGGCCAAACATGGCGCTACCGTGAGGTGAAAAAAATGATGGCAACTATAGTGCAGATAGATGATGATAGATGTGTCGTGGAATCAATCTGCTTGGTGGATTCAAAATGATTCAAAGACAATTACCATTACCCTCTGGTAAACAAACAGCTATTGAAAATGGCCATTTATAGTTGATTTACCCATTAAAAATGGTGATTTTCCATAGTTTTCTGTATGTTTACCAGAGGGTATGTGTTCACTATCAACTGGGAAATGATGGGTTCATGCTTCGCTGGAAACCGGACATCATAGCAGGTTTTCCTCTTGTCAGTTTCAACTGACCACGTTACGACGTCGCTTCGTTGAAGAGGATAGGTGGATTGATTTTGAAGCTTGAAATCCCAACCCAGATGCTCCATGTACGGAATATTTACCAGCATGTGCACTAAAAATCACCCAAATGTAGGTAAATAATGGTAAATATACCATACATGGAGCATAAGGGCAATGGTTTCATCGATTTCAATCCAGGACTCTTCTGAAGATCCAGGCATTGGACTCCTTGGACGTTCACCCCCAGCCGATCACGAATCAAAACCCATAGATTGTTTCCGCATGTTTCCGCATTTCACAGCAAGAGAGCTGGGATTTGTGGATGTTCATCCTAACAAATATTCCATACAGTAATCCATATTATATCCTCATGATGATCAAGTAGTTCTAATATGGTTCGATGTTGGGCACCCATGTATCTAATATCAGGTAAACATCCATAAATATACGAAATTCGTTCACCATCTAATGATCATCAATGATCCATAACCATGTATCTCTTATATGACTTTTATCCCGTTGTATCTTCATGTAGACTGATGATACTCTCATGATTGGTGGAAATCTCAGGTGTAACGAATTTTGGCGCGGCCTCGTCTTCATCTACCGTCAGGGACCAAGAAAAAGAGATAGGAAACATCCGGGATGAATAGTTACATTAGGCGGATAAACCTAACCTATTTAATAGGGATATGTGGTAACATAGGGGTCAATAGTGAAATTTTCTGCGGATTACCCTACTATTGTCACCTATGTTCATCAATGTGGTGAACCCAATGGCAGAAACCTACCTACCATTTGAGCTCATTTGGGGACAGTTTTTACAACGCAGTTATGGTATTATTGGGCATGCTGTGTTTATAATTTGGTTGACCATGATTTCCCACATTCTTTTGCTAGCAGCTTCGCTCTTGTTAACCAAAATGATAAGAAGGGAGATCATTTAGATAATTTTTCAGAAGCAGTAAATGGAACTTCAAGCAACAGGTTTGAGCAAGCTCGCAAACAACACGTGACACACCCGTCGCGTTGTATGTCGCTGATTCCAGTGGGTTTTGTAGATCAACATGGCTCTGTTCTCACAATGTGATGGCTAATCATCAGGTTGCCCATGTTTTTAATGGCCATTTGGAGGTATTCCAATGTGTTTGAAGACCGACAAAATTGGATCTGGTTGGTTAATTATTTCATACATCATATATAATCATATATATATATAGATATTATATACACACACATCTTATTATTGTTATCATTATATTTATATATATATCATATATCCCCATTCTTATCCCATGAGTCATCCATTTTGCCATCGGTTCATCCATTCACCGCCCCATTTCACAGCATCGGCAGCTCCGGCCCAGGTATGTTGCCCCTGCTGGGGAAATACATCGCAGTACATTTTGTGGTGGCCACCCTTGCAGTGCGGTGCCCCAGAAATCATCAGAAATCTACGAGAGGAGCCCTCGAAAATAGGATATTAAACATTATTAAACTATATTAAACATTATTAAACATTATTAAACTATACTATAGTTAATGGGTTTAGAAACCAACTTATTGGGGAGGCCGGTGCCCATGCGGAATGGATTTGGTAAAGGTGAGATTTGACGAGCCTCTTTGATGACGCGATACACATTGATTAAACACAATTGGTCACAAAGAGGATTGGAGAAGAAAATTGAAGATAACATATGAAAACATATAGCGCATATAGGCCTAGACTCTGCCTAGATCGCCGCGAAATTCATGATTCATAGTTGGATTGTTGGACACCCAGATTCATGATGCAAGCAAACATCCTCAACAAACCATCCTGGAAATGCTCTTCGGTATTTTTTGTGGTGGCTACTTTGCCATGGATAGCTTGAGATAATCAAACATGGCAATGGAAATTCCCCCATTCATAGATGAGTTTGATATATCTGCACTGGTTGGTGGTTTGGAATATGAATTTTATTTTTCCCATCATATTGGGAATGTCATCATCCCAACTGACGAACTCAATCCATCTCAATCCATCATTTTTCAGAGG